GTGCTTCACAAGCGCCTCATCTATTCGCCATCGCCGAAGAGGCATTTGCGTAAGATACGACTCACCCCTCTTGATATATGCTATTACTCACAAGCAAGCGATGCAGTGACATGTTGCGAGATGCTAAAAATCAGACAATTGTGGTTTCTGGAGAATCTGGTGCTGGAAAGACAGTTAGCGCCAAGTACATTATGCGATATTTCGCAACTCGCGAATCCTCGGACCAACCCGGGAAATACACCACGAGTAGGGCAGATGCTATTAGTGAGACTGAGGAACAGATCTTGGCTACAAATCCCGTTATGGAAGCCTTCGGAAACGCCAAAACAACGCGCAACGATAACTCTTCACGATTCGGGAAGTACATTGAGATAATGTTCGATGATAGGACCAATATCATCGGTGCAAAGATCAGGACGTACCTTTTAGAGAGATCCCGTTTAGTATTTCAACCTCTCAAAGAACGCAACTATCATATCTTTTATCAGCTTGTAGCTGGTGCAACTGACGCAGAAAAGCAAGAGCTTGGTCTTGCGTCGGTTGAGGACTTCGACTATCTCAACCAAGGCGGGACGCCGACTATCGATGGTGTGGATGACAAGGCGGAGTTCAATGCGACAAGGAAATCCCTAGGTACTATCGGTGTGTCTGAAGATACGCAGGCCGAAATCTTTCGCATCCTTGCAGCTCTCCTGCACCTAGGCAATGTTAAAATTACCGCCACTCGAACCGATTCTTCCTTATCTCCCTCTGAGCCCTCCCTTGCCAGGGCCTGCAGCATGCTGGGCATTGACGTCAATGAGTTTGCGAAATGGATAGTCAAGAAGCAACTTGTAACAAGAGGGGAGAAAATTACATCCAACTTGACACAACAACAGGCGACAGTTGTTCGTGATTCGGTAGCAAAGTTTATATATTCAAGTCTCTTTGATTGGCTCGTCGACAAAATTAATCGCGGTCTAGCATCCGATGAAGTTCTGACCAGATTCAAATCTTTCATCGGTGTTCTGGATATATATGGGTTCGAGCACTTTGCCAAAAATTCGTTCGAACAGTTTTGCATCAACTACGCTAATGAGAAGCTGCAGCAAGAGTTCAATCAACACGTGTTCAAATTGGAACAAGAAGAATATGTTCGAGAGCAAATTGACTGGACCTTCATTGATTTCTCAGACAATCAACCATGCATTGATCTAATTGAGGCAAAACTGGGGATCTTATCCCTTTTAGATGAGGAGTCTCGGCTGCCGATGGGTTCTGATGAACAGTTTGTGACAAAACTGCATCATAATTTTGCAGCGGACAAGCAAAAATTCTACAAAAAGCCTCGGTTCGGAAAGTCGGCGTTCACCATATGTCACTATGCTGTGGACGTAACTTACGAATCAGATGGTTTTATAGAGAAGAATAGGGATACTGTCCCGGATGAACACATGGATGTTTTACGCAACTCCTCAAATCAATTCGTGAAAGATATATTAGATACGGCCGCTGCCGTCCGCGAAAAAGACTCTGCATCCATCTCCTCTAAACCAGTCGCTGCACCAGGCCGTAAAATTGGCGTTGCCGTCAACCGCAAACCTACACTTGGAGGGATCTTCAAATCATCGCTGATTGAGCTCATGAACACCATAAATTCTACGGATGTGCACTATATACGTTGTATCAAGCCTAATGAAGCGAAAGAAGCTTGGAAGTTCGAAGGTCCCATGGTCCTCAGTCAATTGAGAGCTTGTGGTGTGCTCGAAACGGTCCGTATCAGCACTGCTGGATATCCTACTCGCTGGACTTACGAAGAATTTGCGATACGCTACTATATGCTGTGTCATTCATCGCAGTGGACGTCTGAAATCCGAGAAATGTGCCACGCAATCCTACAAAAAGCCTTAGTAGATGGCAGCAACCAAAAACAAGATAAATACCAGCTTGGTTTGACTAAGATATTCTTCCGGGCAGGTATGCTCGCTTTCCTGGAAAATCTTCGCACGTCCAGGTTGAATGAGTGTGCAATCATGATACAAAAGAATCTACGGTGCAAATACTATCGACGCCGTTATCTCGAGGCGCGCGCTTCTATTCTTACAACTCAAGCCTTGATCAGGGGGTTTTTAGCAAGGCAGCATGCGGCCGAGGTGCGCAAGGTCAAAGCTGCAACTTCTATTCAACGGGTGTGGCGGGGACACAAGGAAAGGAAAAAGTATAACATCATCCGTGCCAACTTCATATTGTTTCAATCGGTTGCGAAGGGCTTCCTCTGCCGGCAAAATATAATGGATACGATACATGGAAACGCTGCCAAAGTTATACAACGTGCCTTCCGTTCCTGGCGTCAATTACGAGCTTGGCGGCAGTATCGCCGAAATGTGGTCACTGTGCAGAACCTTTGGAGAGGCAAGCAAGCGAGGAGACAATACAAAAAGCTCCGCGAAGATGCAAGGGACCTGAAGCAGATCTCTTACAAGCTGGAGAATAAAGTGGTAGAGTTGACTCAGTACCTCGAGTCTCTTAAACGTGAAAACAAGTCATTGAATCTGCAGTTAGAAAACTATGAAACTCAGTTAAAGTCATGGAGGAGTCGTCACAATGCTCTGGAGAATCGCTCTAGAGAGCTTCAGGCTGAGGCAAATCAAGCAGGAATCAACGCTGCTCGGCTGTCTGCTATGGAAGAAGAAATGAGTCGATTGCAGCAAAATCACAGCGAAGCGCAAACGACAATTAAGCGGTTGCAGGAGGAAGAAAGAGTGTCACGGGAATCCATTCGTTCTGCAAACGAGGAGTTGCAGCGGCTTAAACAAATGAACACCGAGTCGGATGATGAGAAAGCTTCCCTCCGTCAACAGATCGCTGACCTTGAAGAGCAGCTAGAGCTTGCGAAGAGGACCTTACCTAGCGGGGGCTTGAACGGCGATCAATCAAACGGCAGCGCCATCCCACCACCTGCCAGTGGATTGATTAACCTAGTGTCCTCAAAGAAGGCAAAGCCAAAAAGACGCAGCGCCGGTGCAGAGAGGATAGACACAGATCGTTTCAGCGGAGCTTACAACCCACGCCCAGTCTCCATGGCTGTTCCTAGCTCCTTAATGCGTCAAAACCTATCAGGGAGCACTTTGTCACCTGGACTGGACTCTGTCGAGGTGGAGCTTGAAAATTTACTTTCTGAAGAGGATGAACTTAACGAGGAGGTCACTATGGGTTTGATACGCAATCTAAAGATTCCGCTCCCTAGTTCTACTCCACCGCCAACCGAAAAAGAAGTCCTATTTCCTGCTTATTTGATAAACCTTGTCACTTCTGAAATGTGGAACAACGGCTTCGTGAAGGAATCTGAACGGTTTCTGGCGAATGTGATGCAGTCGATTCAACAAGAGGTCATGCAACATGATGGCGACGATGCTATAAACCCCGGGGCCTTTTGGCTATCTAATGTGCATGAAATGCTTTCTTTCGTGTTCCTGGCTGAGGATTGGTATGAAGCACAAAAAACTGACAATTACGAGTACGACCGGCTGCTGGAGATTGTAAAGCACGATTTGGAAAGCCTCGAGTTCAACATTTATCATACCTGGATGAAAGTGTTGAAAAAGAAGCTTTATAAAATGATCGTTCCTGCGATCATCGAGTCCCAATCACTTCCTGGCTTTGTTACAAGTGAAACCAATCGTTTTCTTGGGAAGCTTCTTCCTTCCAACAACAACCCTGCTTACAGTATGGACAATCTTCTTAGCCTTCTGAACAATGTCTACAAGGCAATGAAAGCTTTTTACCTCGAGGATTCGATCGTTACTCAGACTGTCACCGAACTTCTTCGTTTGGTTGGCGTCACCGCTTTCAATGACCTTCTCATGAGGAGGAATTTCTTGTCCTGGAAGCGTGGCCTCCAAATAAATTACAATATAACTCGTATTGAGGAATGGTGTAAAAGCCATGATATGCCGGAAGGGACGTTGCAGCTTGAGCACTTGATGGTAAGATGATATTCAGACATATAATTTGCTCCTCATACTAACTCCCTCTCAGCAAGCGACCAAACTTCTTCAGTTAAAAAAGGCCACACTAAACGACATTGAGATTATCCAAGATATCTGTTGGATGTAAGGCCCATGCCTGCTTTTACCCCATTATCAAAGCCATATGGAAGACTAATATATTCATATACAGGCTTTCCCCGAATCAGATTCAGAAGCTCCTGAATCAATACTTAGTGGCGGATTATGAGCAGCCGATTAATGGCGAAATCATGAAAGCTGTGGCCTCGCGTGTCACGGAGAAGAGCGATGTGTTGCTTCTGACGCCTGTGGATATGGAGGATAGTGGTCCATACGAGATTGCCGAACCTCGTGTTATCACGGCCCTAGAGACATACACACCGTCATGTAAGTTTCGTATGTCACAGCGCTGTCCGATATTCACTAACCTGTTTGAAGGGCTGCAAACACCGCGACTAAAACGTCTTGCTGAGATTGTCTCAGCTCAGGCGATGGCTCAGCAAGAGAGGCTTGAAATGGCGGATATAGCATGATATCTTTCATACTTCACTGTAGTACGAAGGTAGGCCAACTGCCAATGCTGTCTGGTCGAGTAAGAACAAACCTCTACTGAGTATACTGTTTAGAAGGAGTCGTCTTGTCGTCATTTCCTAGAGTTACGGATCATGATGAGATTATGCATTTCTTTTACCTTTGAACAGCGCTGATCTACAACTGGATACGAGAAGACATGCCATAAGTCTCTCCCCACCATTGTCCTTATTCTGTATTCTTTGGGGGGCCGGGGGTATTAGGCCACACCTGTATGTTGTCTTGGATTCTCTATTCAGATTTTTCTTTTTATTCGAGTCTCACTTGTGGATACGAATTTGAGCACGAGGTCCATCTGCCTCACGAAAGACATACTCTCGATCCGTAGTAATCATGTGGCACCACGCAAGTGGGGTAGTGGGGAAGCTTTGCTTCCCCGATGTGAATGGAGGGAAACAGTTCCTGCCTTGTCAGATTTCTGAACCTCATTCTATTTGTAAATGTGTTGATTAACAAGGTATAATACCCTGTCTTAGCCTTTTTTCCTGCATTTTTCCCTGAACTCCCTAAACAATAATTCAAACTTAGCGGCGCAGACACCATGACCATATTAAAGAAATTGAATTTCATCACTGGCAACAAGAACAAACTAGGGGAGGTTAGAGCGATTCTGGGCAATGCAATCGAGGTCGATAACCAAGGGCTTGACATTCCGGAGATACAAGGGACTATTGAAGAAATTGCCAGAGAAAAGTGCATGCGTGCAGCGGAAGTGGTAAACATGGTGATACTCTTTCCATCTCGCGTACAGTGCTAATATTGCCCGAACAGATCCAGGGCCCGGTTCTCACGGAGGACACGGCGCTTGAGTTTCATGCACTGAAAGGGCTTCCTGGTCCATACATGTAGGTCTTACTAGGGCAAAAAAAATTTTTTTTTGTACTGACATCCCCTAAGCAAATCATTCCTTGATGTTTTGGGCCATGAGGGGTTGAATAAAATGCTCGATTCGTTCGAGGATAAATCGGCAGATGCGATATGTACATTCGCTTTCTGTCACGGCCCCGGATCAGAACCAATTCTATTTCAGGGAAGAACAAAGGTATTTGATGAGGTTGCAGAAATCTAGGACTTTCGAAACCTGACCTCAACTTTTTAGGGTGTAATTGTCAGGCCGAGAGGTCCATCAAACTTTGGTACACAGAATCTCTCCCTGCTACGTCCGGAACCTCCAGCTTATGTAGTTTCTTTAGGTTGGGATCCGATTTTCGAATATGAAGGGAAAACATATGCTGAGATGGACAAGGAGAAGAAGGTAATTCCCGAGTTTGCGTTCCAACCTCTACCTTTATTGCCTTTTCTCCCTTTCCATGATCTTTCTCCCCCGTGGCCCTCCGTCCTTGACTTCCTCGCTAACAAGGCTAGAACCAAATATCGCACAGGTATAAAGCTTTGGAGAAACTACAGCGTTGGTTGGTCCAGGAAAATTCCTGATTTGTCGGCTTCGCAGCGGATAACGTTGATAGGCGGCGCATCTCTGGAATATTTCAATTCGTATCGAGGTTTTGGTTGATCCTCCAAGAGGATATCCAATTTGAAATTCTTGTGCAGTTTTCCTCTACATCGTCGTCCTTTTCACTAGTGAGCTCGACCACAACTTCTTCGTCGAAGGCTTCACGAGCTTCTTCAGATAGGACACCGAAAATCTCCGCGTCTAAATTTTCTTGTAGCTTCGTTTCCTTATATCCCCTGCAACAAGTGAAATCTTATTAGGCTTGCTGAAAAGGGAGGGGGTTGGGCTTGGAGGGATTCGCCTATAGATACCTTGATGAAAGACGGTCATATAGAAGAGATGTAGACGGGCATCGCAAAACCACAACGAGGTCAATCCAAGATTTGGGGAATAGGTCACATGCATGCCAGTCGATCAAGAGTCCCCCTTGGAGCATTTCGTCTTCAACAGCATCCAGCAGCTATATTGACCAGACCAGGTAAGTAGAGGGAAAAAATTAACTTTCAATTTGAGAGAAATCCTATTCTGTTGGAACTTCCAGGAAAGAGAGAGCGTGTATATTCAGCGTACCTTATCCTCATCCACAATCCAAGTTTCTAACTCCTCGTCATAAGTCTCGAAGCAATCACGATCTTTTGCGACCTGATTGATTGACAGATGTCGCAGACCGGTATCTTGCGCTAGTTGTTCGCAGTGGACAGTTTTCCCAACACCAGGGGTTCCTGTGATAATCACATTCGGAGATGTTCGCATGATGACCCTAGGCAGACTTCTGGGCGACTGAAAGTTACCTTGCTGTGAAACGTGGGTACAGTCATGCAAAACATGATGGCAATGGGTAAATTTTACGTGGGGTATAAACCAACGCCGCACCTGTTTTCGTGCGGGAAAAGTGGGCCCGACCCGACGGCACCGTGCATAAATTTATAGATAACACCACTACCACTACTACTACAGAGTACTACCACTAGTGATTCCTCGGAGTCTACAATTAGACCTTGCGAGCTCCAATTTCATTGCTTTATTTCTCTCTCTCAATGAACCATCTTCCCTGTAGGTGGAATTGATGGTCCCAGAAAAGAGCCTATAACTCTGTACAGGTCTAGTCTTGGGAGGTAGACAGCCTAAAAGGGTTCAGGCGATGTTAAGTAAATGAAACAGGCTGTGACTTACTTGAGGACTTCGAAGATTTTATATTTCTGTAAGTAATCTGCTCCTCGCCGGTAGCCCTTTAGGATCCGAGCGGGATCAGCAGATACTTCGCGCGTGCCTCTGAGTCGCTTCACAGCACACGATGGTTTGAACATTGGGTCCAAGACCAAGAGGTTCGCACTGCCATTGTCACGTATCTCGAATCCAATAATGGTCAATGAGTGCCCTATTTGTGATGGCATAGCGGTAAGCTCCAGACACAATGTCAACAAATAGAGGTTAGTGACAGAGAGGAACGCTTCAGACCTTGATGTTGGAAGTAAATTGGAGGTAAGTTTGTCAAAAAAACTTTGTCATTTGTATCCAAGGAGCACGCCTGTCGGAAGTAGTTCGCAATGCACATGAACAAAGCGTCATGAGCTTGCATATCTTTGGTGCCTCCGATACTACTGGCTTCGCATCTAATACAAATCAGTGCTATTCCCACTAGGTTCCTCAGTGTAGCCTCACTGTATTCCTAAACTCAAAAAAAGCGCCTGTGCCTGGAGAAATACCATTAGTAAGGAAAGCACACTCAAGAATTCCTGCCTTACTTCGGGTGTGCCAATGTATTTCCTAGTGCCGCGGATTCCGCCTGTCTCAATCCGTCCAATGCTGTTAAAACCCATATCCCACGCATTCTCGATCATCTCCTGTATCTGCAGAATCGTTGGTAACGTCTCCGAGAAACATTCATGCCCCGGAACGCGGCATTCTTTGATGTAGGAAATTAGCATTTGAATATTTCTGTAGCCACAAAAACCTCCTTCTTTTGGCATCTTAGAGACTTGATGAACTTTAGGGCTACAGAGGAAAGCACGCTGTACTGATCTGTCCTGTTCACAAAGCATAGCAAGCACTGGAACAACATCAGTTGTTTCATTCTCCATTGAACGATGTCTCCGAAGCGTTCCATCTGGAGCAATTGTGTTCGACTCTGTTATCTTGACCCCATTTTCTAATAACTTTCGAAGCCACGAAGGCATCTGTTTCTCATGAGCATATGGTCCTAATTCGGTGCGCTATTTCAATTGTTAGCAGGCTCACCCCTAGAAGCTGTGCAAGATACAGGGGAGATAACGTAGAGAAGGGGCTAGATACTCCAAGCTTTTTCACAGTAAGCGCTATATTGGAAGGACTACGAGGTCTTTTTTCTCTCAGTACTTCCGGAGTGGATCTTTCTTTGTTTAGGTGACTCTTCACAAACGATTCATGCAAGGACTGGGTATTGTCCAGGTCCTCGACATCGTCGGGTCTGCATTGCTTTCGAGCAGTCAGCAAGCCGGAGAACTCTGGTTGAGACGATGTTGTACTCTCATGGGCAGTTTCTTCTGCAAAATGTAGATCAAGATGAGTAGGAAGCTCAGTGTCCATTAATATCTCCCCACAACCACGTGGGCAATGGGTGTACTTTCCTAAGTACCCGTTCTCCTCGCTGGCGGATTGTTGCCTGTAGTCAGATGATGCCTTGCTCAAGTATATGGCATTTTTACCGCTGTTGACACCAAACCGTCTGTCAATTTCAGGATGATATAGCTCAATATGCTCCACAATAGAATTTCTATCAGGGTCAGAAAAGGTGCAGAACGAACATGTTGGGATATCTGCTCTTGCAGGATCCATAGTAACCGATCTAAAAAGCCCCCCTTATAGTTAGAGACCGTTAAGTTAGCAAATGAAAGTAGGAGCGGAGATAAGGACTAATTCGGAGTACTAGTTGCGTATGTATGTTCTGTAAGACCAGATATCATTATCTACCCGACTTCCGGAGACCCAGGCCGGGGCTGTTTTTAAGTGAGTTAGCCTGTTAGGTAGGTCGGGTACATTGGTGCTGCATGAAAAGTGGAACGATAATCCATCTAGCTGGGGGTTCAATTGGTTGCTATCTATGTATCGACGGAATACTCCGTACTTCGCAAGCCAATCGTGTTTGGTATTATTATTACATAGGTAGGAAGTAGTTAGGTATTGGCCGACACTATTGGATTCGAGACCTGGTTTTCGTACGTCAAAGAGATGACTCACACAAGTTATGGCGCTCAACACCCTAAGTGTTACAACCTCGAGACAGTTACATAAGACAAAAAATCATTTGTGTGATGTATACCTATGCTTACTTCTATATTGCTCATAACCTGCAGTACCTAACTTCAAATAAAATGGCCCAAAGTACTGTAGAGTTGCGAGTTACATACGAAGGAACTGAAGTACCTATAGTAATTAACTATGTATCTTGGATGTACGAAGCACTCCAAAGTACTACGCAGAAGGAAGTAACTAATCTACTAGGTATGAAGAGCTCTGTGTACCAACAGAGGACGAGTAGTAAGAATTGACCGTGGACTCCGATATCGTATTCCACATGCGGAAGGCGGAGAAGGGGGAAAATTATGTGACCACCCCGTATCATTAGAGGGGCTCCGCTTTCGCAACCCCCGCCAGTGCACATAAAAAGGCTATCCCGCTACTGAAGCCAAGTAATGTGAGGATTGCCATCGCCTTTTGAGAATAAGGCCTAAGTTGACAGTTACTCTCCAGCATGGAATCTCGGCTTCCATCCAAATTGGAATCATTGTCGACAGCTAAGAGCGACCAAGTAGTCTCTTCAAAAAGCAACTGGGTTGTACAAAAGTTTGGAGGTACCAGCGTGGGCAAGTTCGCCCTTAATATCATTGATCAAGTTGTTCTGTAAGCGACAAGATAAAACATATAAATAGCTGCTACTGACATCCTTGAAACAAGACCCAGCCTTTTAGACCACAGTGTGGCAATAGTCTGCTCTGCAAGAAGTAGCTCTACAAAAGCTGAAGGTACTACCAATCGGTGAGTCACCTCTGAACTCCAGTTAGGTGTTGCCCTACCTCGCAGTTCTAAAAAACTGTCATTCCTTTGTTTTCATTCGAAATTAACACTGACTTTGAACCAATTGATAGGCTATTACGCGCAGCACGGGATGCAGAGAATGCAGAATCTAAAAACTACGTCACCTTTGTGGAGGCGGTCCGTCTGGAACATGTCGAAGTAGTCGAGAGTCAAATTAGTTCCAAGGAACTAAGGCTTCAATTGGTTTCCGAGATTAATGATGAATGTGAAAAGGTTCTGAAGGTCTTGGAGGCTGCTCAGACGCTCGGGGAGATCAGTGCCCGCTGCGTGGATAAAGTCATGAGTACGGGAGAGAAGCTTAGTTGTCGACTTATGGCAGCTTTCCTCCAGGACCGGGGAGTAGATTCGGAATATGTTGATTTGGCCGAGATCGTCGACTTCACTATATCAAGCCAGGGTCTCGACCAGGAGTTCTACAACAACCTCGCCAGCACTCTCGGTAAGAAAATTCAAGCTTGTGAGGGCAGAGTTCCGGTTGTAACTGGGTTCTTTGGGACTATACCAGGCGGCCTTCTTGATCAAATAGGGCGGGGATATACAGATCTTTGCGCCGCTCTAGTCGCCGTTGGGATTTGTGCCAAAGAACTACAGGTATGGAAGGAAGTCGACGGAATCTTCACAGCAGATCCCCGCAAAGTGCCAACCGCGCGTATTCTTCCGGCAATTACACCTGCAGAGGCCGCTGAGCTGACGTTTTATGGCTCAGAGGTCATCCATCCTTTCACCATGGAACAAGTCATTCGCGCGAAAATTCCCATTCGCATAAAGAATGTCATGAACCCGAAAGGAAATGGCACTATCATTTTCCCTGATTCTACTTATGAATTGGAAAAGACAGCCCCAGGGCATGACCCCAGATTGTTCCGTACACGCAGTCCAAGTCTGATGCAGACGCCAAAGCGTCCTACCGCTGTAACTATCAAGCACAAGATTCTCGTGATCAATGTCCACTCCAACAAACGCTCCCTGTCGCATGGGTTCTTTGCTGGCATCTTCTCTGTCCTTGACCGATGGAGGCTCTCAATCGATCTGATATCCACCAGTGAAGTGCATGTGTCCATGGCCCTCCATTCTGAATCGCCTCTTCTCAACGGAGTTGGCAGGGATGAATATCAAATCATTGACGAGGACTTGAAGGGTGCGTTACGCGACCTACAGAAATATGGGACGGTCGATATAATCCCAGAGATGGCTATTTTGAGCCTTGTTGGTAAACAAATGAAGAACATGATTGGTGTTGCCGGGCGGATGTTCACAACCCTTGGAGAGAATAATGTGAACATTGAAATGATCTCCCAAGGTAAGTGTAACGGTGTCGACCTTTTACTGGATTTGGTTGACCAAGAGCTAATTGCTTCTCTTCTTTAAGGTGCAAGCGAAATCAATATATCATGCGTCATTGAAGAGAGAGACGCAGACCGTGCCCTGAACATTATCCATACGAGCATGTTCACCTTTCTAGACTAAACGCCCTTCTTTCCCCCTTCGCCTCCTTCTCCTTGCTTCCCCCCTTTTTCTCTTCTCGTAGGGGTTTCTGCACAATGCCAGAGAGGGTTTCTGGATACCCATGGCAAGTCTATTCGATATGACGAAAAGTTCCATGTCTTATGTGATTATGTGAAAGTTGTAACGCTGGAGTTGTCTGATTGAGTCTGACTAGAGCCCAACTTCCTCTCTTTTTTTCCCGAATCCATGTGTGATATGGATTTCCACGCTTAGTTCCCCTGCACTGACGTCTTTTTTGTTTCTGGGATAGATCTCACTTGTTCATGTTCTCTTTTCAGGCGTTGAATGTCTTTTTTGTCTAGATTTAGAGCATACTCGTTGTCAGCCAGGGATATAGAGGGTTACAAGGAGTTTTGAATCAATGACAAGTGTTTTGTAAAGAGGTGTTTCCAGTCAATCTTGTTACATTTACCATGTGGCTTTCCCCCCATTAAAACAAGAAGTGTTCTCGCACTGGAGCGGTAAATGTGAGGAGACTAGAGGCAACTACAGCCCGAACTGTCATTTCGAATACTATATGGGGGCTAGGCAGGAGGGATGTACTGTACAATCAATTGAAGCTCATGTGGACAAAACTTTCGCTATCTACGCGTTTACTCATATGCCAGGGGTGTCGTCAACTTTGATTTTAAGCCGACGCCTTACTGGCAGAAGTAGGTCACGTTGCTGCTCAGGCACTTTAATCTCCCCACGATTACGATCAAAAAGTTAACTAGAAGTGACTATTGATAATTTAAATATTATCCATGCTAGGAGCACGAAATTATGTTGCTATATGTAGATCCTACACATGACTACTGCAGGTCAAGACGGGTACCTGAGAATCTTCCATACCCTTGCCTAGGCCATACTCATGTAGACAATTAGCGCAAGTAATAATTACTTGGTCATGAACCATCCCAGTTTTAAAGGACTAACTTCATGGATAGTGGTGAGTAAGGGTCCCTTACTCATTTAAATTAACACTCGCTCTCTGTACAGCTGCTAGGAAAACAGGATATCTGGTCGATAATTTCGTCGACATGGTAACTAGGAGGAGTAATGGAAGTCAACGAGCCTTGAATATTTATTGTTCACATCCAAGCACCTCAAGGTTGTGCAGTCTTTCTTCGAGAAACCCCACCAAGTTCTGGACGACGAATGATGTTTCAGCCTTTACACCTTGTCGTTTGAGATGGCTGATCTTGACAAAATCTGGGTGGCGGTATGATCACAAACCTTTCCTTCCATCAAGACACGAAGCATGGGGTGGGAATCTAGACAATACTTAGCACGGATCTAATAAAATCGGGCTTAGTTTAGAAAGGTACACAACCTGGCACTAAGTCTGATGGCCGGACCGCCGGGCATGCTTGCCTCGTCAACTGATGGGAGGGCCCCAATGATCGACCGGGATCGCTTGGTGATTGGACACGATAATCGTTCCAGGTGGCGGAACGGAGCAAGGAGGTTGGCCAATGGTGAAACAGGAGCTTCTGTATTGTCACCCATGACAATACTAGTACCGAAACCCCACCCCTCCTCCGATGTTGCTCGCCTACCTCGACGCGTGACGCGAACGCGACCTAACCATACAATACATACTTACCTGCCAAACGACGCCGCGACAACCACCCAACATCAAGTTCCTTTCTCCTCATTCCTCAGCCCAAGTAATCGTACATAACTTTGCTGTTATTAACGTATCTCGCGCACCCCGCCTTACCTCGAGGGAGAAACTGATTCGATTATAGAGTGAGGCCGTCTTCCCGCTTTATCTCTTCTCTGCCTCTCCTCTAAACATCCCCTTCAGCCCGTCCCCCATCATCGTTTCTAGATTTGCTACTATTTCGCGCACGCGTGAGCCCACCTCTCTACCCAGCACCGTCGGGCGTAAAGCAGTCCTGCGCCAGTCTTACACCCAGCCTATTCCAAGTAAAAGAAAAAACGGGAGGGGGGGGTTTATAACACCAAGAACTGCTCACAATCAAGTTAAATCCGACAGTTATACCCGCTTTTTTCTTCACAGTTGGAGCCACGGCCTCGATGTGCCCTCCTTAGCGCCTTTGTGGCCCAAATACCCACTTCTTTGCGCTATAGCCTAGGACCCTATTCATTCCACCTCTTTTTTTCCTATACCACCACGAATTGTCCTAAATATTGTCCTCTTGGGTGACTACGATTCACTTGGTCATTGGGCGCTGCTGCCCCTGCCCCTGATCATCGGCCGACTTGACGTCTCGTTTACCTGGACGGTGCTACTATACTCCCGTGTCAAGGATTTCTCCGACGCGTCTAGCATTTTTCGCACCCGCTCAATCGGACGACATCATGGGCTCCACCCGTCATGCACCAACTGCGCCAGCAGTTGTCAAGTCATCTTCACCTACTGAGCAAGGAATTGCCAAGTCTCGTCATCGACTGGAGCCATCACCTTTGCCTTTGCCCCTGCAGCCTGTCGAGCATGCCACAGACACGGGTTATGCCTTGAACCTGCCACCCGCTATCACGCACAAACCGTCACCTACGAAGACACGTCGAGGGTCAGGTGTTTCGTTATCTGGAGGAGGAAAGCTGGGCTTCGTCTCCATAACGGCCCCTATCCCACCATCATTCCCTACGGATTCTCCTACAAAGAAAACACCTTCCAATCCATACACGTATCCCATTACATCTACAACGTCGATGCCGCAGTCGGCCTTGTTCACGACATTTCCCAGCGTCAACCCCGACAGGCTCTCCTCAAAACAGAGTCAGCCCATAGACGAGCCACCCAGTGATAATTTCGCGGATTTTCCTGAACCATCATTCCACTCTAGGACCCAATTGAAAAGGACGCTCATGGACGCGGCTCCATTGAAGGAGCGACCCGCGAAAAGGCCGAAACGCGAAGACACTATCTCTATGCGTTTACCCGAGCCACATGAAATGCCCCCTATAGAAGACGACGGCACGAAACCGCCGTATAGTTATGCAACACTAATTGGGATGTCTATTCTACGCGCATCAAATAGACGGCTGACCCTTGCACAGATCTACAGGTGGATTTCAGACACGTTCTCATATTACAAGAACAGTGATCCTGGTTGGCAGAATAGCATCCGGCACAATCTCAGTTTGAACAAGGCATTCATAAAGCAGGAACGGCCTAAGGATGACCCAGGGAAAGGCAACTACTGGGCCATTGAACCTGGGATGGAAGCACAATTCCTAAAAGACAAACCTCTACGACGTGCTACGATGTCTAGTATCCCGCTTCCGGCTGCCCCCCAAAGGGAACTGGCGCACTCACAGAGCTCTGCCACAGCCACATGGACAGTTCCATCGTCTACCCATCCTCCCATAGTACCGAAGTCTTCGAAGAATGTGGATTTGTCCTCCGACGCGACACTACCTGCTTCGGACCCCGCCCTCCAGGATGACACAGGTGATGAAGGAGTGAGCAGGCCTACTACACAGACCCTCCCACCACGGTCTTCTCCGCCGCAGACTATACACTCATCACCTCCAATTGTACCACCTCGTTTCATCCGCCAGGGAACCCCGCCTACTCCATCTCAGTGTGTTACATCAACAGGGGTCGTTTCTCGCTCTAGAAAACGGAAGTCAACTGGCATAAATGATAGCGGTTATTTTTCTTCTTTGGAGTCTTCCGCAATGCGACCAAACAAAGCTGGACACATACTCACATCAGACTTGGATATCGAACCGCCTCGTATCAAGCGTGGCCGGGCAGAGGAAGAGATCGCTCGGATTAGAAGTTCTTCTCATGATATCAGTCCAGGTCATTCTGGTACGCTGAAAGACGCTGGGCTTATCGTTGGCTCTTCGCCACTTCGCAGCGAATATGTTAGCATGCTGCCGCCCCCCCTTACCCCTGTCATAAAATTTAAGAAGCCCGCAAAACCCCCACCGTCAGTCTCCCCTAACACCAATCTTCGAAACCACCGCAAGAAAATCCAGCAGATGGTCAATTCCCCCATTAAGCATCTCGGTCTCACAGATGAAGATTTACCATGGAGCCCGGCCTTTAACATTCAGGATGAAACCTTTACGCCGAATGATAATCTCCACACTACCTTTGACGTATTTGCGGATACTGCCACGGATAACATTTCAACGCCAGCATATGGTTCACCAGGGAAGCGTTCCGCGAAACGTTCAAGGAGTGATGCGAGTGGCTCAAACGGCGGCGTGCTTGCCGATATCACCGCTATGAGTGTGAACAGTCGCATCGGCCTGCCTTCGTTTTCATCTTCAAGCAAAACGAAAGGCCTTCTCTTCCCCGATTCACCATCGAAAGTCCCCGAATCCGGGCGCTTTATAGATGCTACCCATGATGACTTTTTCTCATTCCACCTTTTTGATGAGAGCCCCGGAGAGGTAGATGGTGTTGACCTTTTGCAGGGGTTTCAAAAAATCGGCAGCGGAAGCAAAGAAGAACCATCGAAACCCAGACCGCAAGTGTCTAGGCCGCAGCTGAATCATCGGAGCAATATGCCATTATTTTGAATCTCGGATAGGTTTAATTCTTTCGAGAATTTAGTTTCGACATCATGGCACTCCAAGACCATGGTCTCATCTAATCTATGCCGTTGCTTAGCGCACACAATAATGCCGGTCTTAATTCTGGGATTTTGGAGTTTGTATTCGACAGGATTTGCTCTTTGGGTTGTTAGAATTTTAGGCGGTTGATATTTTTGGAGTTCTGGGCTGGAGTGAGGCCTGGAATCGGTTTTGGCTTCAATTGATGACCTTGTTATGACCTTGACGACATTTGCTAAGATGTACATGAAATGCCATGCTTTACGAGCCTGAATTTTGACCATGTCTACTCCCAGAAGGCCTTGATACGTGTTTGCTATTTCTTCCCCCTATTTCTTCTTTATTGTTGGTTGTAGCTATATTTAGTAGTCATTTGTCAAAGGATTTCTTTAAAGACTAGTCGGTTAAGTACGTGTCCGTTTGACTAGATACTAGAGCACAATATGGTGCCCAGCTCTTTGTGGGGGTATCATTTTGCGAACGGGTGAAACAGTGATATGTGAAGGAACATTGAGTCGAAGGGAGATGTGGGCGCAGAGGGGCATATTCCAGATAAGCAGGAGTAGAAAAACCAAATACAACCCGGACGCCTTTGTAAGAGTAAACCAACCGTGAATCCCGATTTCAACCATGTGCATGGGAACATTTCTGACTTTTTTTCTTTTCCTTTTTTATGCCCCCAAGCTTGAACCCCCGGGACAGTGTCGGCAGATCAATGCTAATCGCTACTGGCACAACCTCGACATCCACAACTAACGCATTGCATCATTTGATCCTCTTTCAGTTGGGCCTTTGGAACGCGGCAAATACATGTTGCATTAAAATTCGTTTCCTTGGTTTGAATGCAACGGAGACAACAAAGCTACGGTCAAGCGCAACGTCAGTAAAATACTAACTCAGGTATTGGAAGACATTCAGACGCAAACGCACCCTAGAAGATGAGAGAAACCGGGGGTAATACCTTTTCATAACCTTGCTTCTTCCATTTAGCAATTAAGTTAGCATCCGCATAGTTGTTCTTAAGAAGCCAGTCATATAGTTGCTTTGATATAGCTTCCTTTTCGTAATATAAATCGTAGATATATCTTGAGCCTGTGAAAAGATCACACACGTTAACCACACTCGACAAAAACTGTAGGAGTAAGGGTATACTTACGTTGATGGGTTATTTGAAAAATTGGCCACAGCATCTCATGTCTTTTCTTGCCGTCATGCGGCGCATTCTCTGCGTCTTTCATCTTGTTACTAAACTCAAGCAGTGTATCCTCGATGTCATCGAACCCCGCCGGAGGTGGTTTGCGGTTGCGGGAGGTTCGGATCGGAGGCATACTCGGCGTATCAATGATAACGATAGGATGGATCTAAATTATAAGCCAGATGTTGCCCTTATAGACGTCTTCGAAGGTAGGTGGAGGCTTCTTCAGGCTTCAGCTTATTTGGTTGAAAAGGTGGATTGGGATCTGCATCCCTTTTCTGCCACAGAGCACCGCCTTCTAAATATGCGGAAAGGAACTAAATTTGGTATACGGTGTTAGGGGCCTCATCAGTTCAACTTCATTAGTTGAAATACCTCCAGTCTTATACTACCCCGTTACTCATTTTACACTCGACGAAGTATCAAGAATCACTTCTCTGAAATCAGGATGGATCAACAGCTCGATGTTTCCAAGCTCAGCGATGCCGACAAGAAAGAATTGAACCAGATTTTAACCAACGAGGCCCAGAAGTCGAACATACAACAGAGTAAGTGAATGATCCATCCGAACTTGGAGTTCGTTGCGTTTGGCTCAATGTGCTGATGGACTATACATCAGCCGTGCATCACCTCGCCGACGTTTGCTGGAAGAAATGTATCACTGGGAAGATTTCGTCTGGTCGCTTGGATCAATCTGAAGAGGCTTGTGCCCAAAACTGCGTGGAGCGGTGGATGGATACCAATCTTGCTGTTTTGAAACATCTGGAAGCTCTTCGCTCACAATAAGCAAGTTATGGTTCTGATAACGGAAGCCTTGGTTCATAGGGTGCCTTGGAATTATCAATACTTCGGTGATGGGGTGTCAAAAGTTTGAGACGAAAGCAACCTGTGTCTTTGCTAGCATGACAACTGATTGGCATTGTACTGTATAACTAGGAATGATCAATGCATTCGCTACGTATGGATGTGTCATTTCGCGTTCCTTGATCGGCGAACCCAATGTCTATCCCATGCACCGGCTCCAGAAGCCGTTCTGCCTCCAAGGAGCGGTTGGGTAAAGACACCTTTAGATAAGATTACAAAGAAAACTTCTCTACAGCACTAACCAGGTCGATTCAGATTATGCATTGAAATGACACCTCTTTTATAACGATCATTCAGCCGTCGTTGCAGCACGGGTAGCTAACTGTATGACCAGGACTTATAAGCTACCGCGTTAAAAGAAAAAAGTTCACCAGACCCATAAAAGATTGATTCATCTAGACAATGGCAAGCTTGGTAGCCGCAATATCCAGAGCATCCACATCAGGGGTTAGCCGAGCGAAGGCTTTCTTGGATCCATCGGGCCTGTATACTTATTAGAGGCAAAATTCTCGAGTAGAGAGTTGATCACTCTGCGCCAAGGTGATCTTCATACCTAACAAGAGTATTGACCTTCACAGTGTCGACATCATAAAGTTTCTTAAGAGCCAGTTTAATCTGACGCTTGTTCGCCTTCACATCCACGATGAAAACCAGAGTGTTGTTCTCCTCGATCTTCTTCATCGCGCTCTCGGTGTTGAGGGGGTAGAGAATGACCTTGTGAGAATCGAGACGAGGTGCATGAGGAATCGACTTGCGGGGGTACTTGGGCGACCGGGAGAGCTCAAGGGTCTTAGGGCGGTGGAAGGTGGTGGAAGTGCGGACCTTGCGAGCCTTGTGCGCCTGGTTGACGAAATATCTTAGCATGAAAAGGTACATTTGATGCTCAACGATGGGAACGTACGCCTACACCCTTCAGGACTGCCTTGGCAGCAGCGCCAGCGCGGTCGCTGGGCTTCGTCTTGCCTATAGAAATAGCCAATCAGCAAAACCGCGAAAAGTGATCGAATGGTCTCTTCTAGGAAGAGTTCATTTGGGATAGCAGAGCAGCTTGCGCTGGGAATAACGGGGGACAAAATCCACAACGCACGCCCTCTGTTGACTTCATTCCCCTCGTGGATTATGTGCGGAACAATCACATATCAATGTCCGCTATGCAAAGGAGCACAGGATGCTCTCTGAACCTTGCGGTTTCAAACTCGACAATCCTGCAAATCTGGGGGGGAACAGCAAATCGCTCGAAATCTACCAACCTTGCTTGTTATCCGCCTTAGGTGCCATGGCTGTCGTCCGGCGCTGTCGTGATGATTGTCGCGGTGTCGAATGTCGAAGTATTTCGAATGCACTCGCTTAGCGAAAACCCTACGGCTTTGCTCTGTGGGTCACCTGACCTGATCCTTAGTCCCGCCGTTGTATTCTGCGCCAAACCTAATATGGATACATATCTCCACTTTGAGACTTGCACAATAAATCCTTGGCCATTGAAAGGTCATACTAGTTGTTGGGAAAGGTTGTTTCATGTCTGGACTCTGCATACTCCTTTTGTAGGTAGCTTGTATTGTTAGTACCTACTGCTCCCCTTTCACTTCCGTCCCGAAACCCTCCTCGTTCACAAAGGCAGCTTTCAACCCTATCGCCTACTTAATGAAGAATCTTGAGAATAAGATCTGCGTCTTTTCCAAAGTTCAGCTACGAGGCTAACGTCGCATATTCTTTATATATATAACTGTAAGCATGGCCTCAAGGAGATCTCGGACGAAAAAGACTACGCTCCTTTCACATACTCGACCGCCAACAGTCAGAGCCAAACATGCAGCCCTATCGTCCAAAGCCACACGCAATCTTATTCGCGGCCATCATCGACTTCTCAAAAACCGGGCACAGGCTCTAAAGGCCAACGATAATATTCTAATCGAAAGGATCGATGCCCAAATTCGAGAGAATGGCGGCTTAGAAGGCTATCAACTTGCTAGCAGACTCGGACAGTCGCTAGAACGTGGTGGAGACTCAAGTAAAGTTTTAGTCGACTGGCTAAGTCCACAATTATCGCGGTTACAAGATAAGGCGTCTAAGCTTAGGGTGCTCGAAGTTGGTGCTCTCAGTACCAAAAACGCTTGCTCTATGAACCACTCCCTAGATGTCACCAGGATCGATTTGAATTCCCAGGAGCCTGGGATATTAAGACAAGATTTTATGGAAATGTCACTCCCTCGTGACGCTGCCGATCAGTTTCACATTATTAGCCTATCTCTGGTTCTCAATTATGTCCCAGATGCCATTGGCAGGGGGGAAATGTTGAAGCGATGCGTTGCCTTCCTGAGAAAGTCACCCCTGTCTGGGTCATCCTTCCACATCACACCTAAGTTGTTTCTAGTCTTACCTGTGGCCTGCGTCAAAAACTCGCGATACCTCACAGAATGCAGACTGCGGGACATAATGTCTAGCATGGGGTTTGTTTTGGAAAAGAGCAAGGAGACTTCGAAGTTGATATTCCAGCTCTGGGAACACAGCCATGACTTCCATCCCGTGTCGTTCAAGAAAGAGGTTTTGAGGCCTGGCAAAATGAAAAACAATTTCGCCATTGTCGTCAAACGATGAAAAAGGGATGCACAACGACCGCAAGGCTGACTGAGAGGCTCTACTGTACAGAAATCATATTTTCCGGCAAGAACGCCCACGCGGTTCCAACAATTGCCAATGCTGTTGATATGAGTAAAAGAAACCAGTCTAGGATCCACTCTCGTCGACTGATTTCTTGTCCGAATATTTTCAAATAAAATGCAAGTGGCAGGACGATGCAGATGGTAAAGCACAAAGCAGAGCCCATCAGCGCCATGATTCGGTCAAAGGATGGGCAGAGGATTGCCATTAGCACGATGACCGCAATCACAAGAAGCCGTATAATGGCTTGCAATGACTGCCGAATGGCTACCCGTATGCTATTGGGGTTTTCTGATACTAAGGCAACATGTGGCCCAAGCCCACAAAGGACTTCAACTGTAGCCACCAGAGGTCGACAGCTGTGTTCATCAGTGAATATGAGCTCGAAAAAAGGTTTATAGAAAAGAGGGAATGAGCTTACTTCAGAGGCACTTTTGTAATTGGAATGATTGCGATAAAGATTATGATGCAAATAGATATTCCGCGTGGATATTCATTCGTCAGCAGGATGTTGGCGGTGACTTCATCACGTACTTCATCACCAAACATCACCCATCCCACAATAGCCATTGCGCAATCAAGGGAGTACTGTTATATATAATGCGTTAGATATATACTGTTGCTTTATTTTCTTTTTATCTATACCCTCGTACCGTAAAAAGATATGTAGCCCACAGGCTCTTTCCATACTTGCCCGGGTGCCTCATATCTCTATATATATTGGGGAACACGCCGTGGCCGCCCCAAGGTGCTTTACGGATTTGATAGTCAACTTATCTCGATCCTTGATCAGCACTTGCAAAGGACTTACACATGATCAACCCGAAGCTAAGAGGTACGGTCCGCCAATTGTTTGGGAATAAAGAAGTCCTGGCTGGTTCGTAGAGGGAGCCCGGACCGTTCGGTTTGAGGAGCCCATCAAGGCATATTAACATAACAACTTCGGGGGGTTAGTTTGTGATGCAAAATGATCGGGAGGAAAAGACTAAGGCGTACTGGATGTGCAAGAGATGATACCTAAGATACTAGTCACACTAAGAAGTCGCAATGGCACAAAGTTCAAAGGAACAAGCATGAGACCACAGATAAGTTTCCACTGGAGACTACTCAGTCCTGGGATTAGAGCCTGGAGGCTGTCAGCAAAAAGTACAACCAGGGCGACACAAGCCCCTATGAGTTCCAAACAGAACAGAAGGCTTGTCGCTAAGCGTGCATGGTTCCCAAAGCTTATGTAGGCCAAATCAGCGTAGGTAACGAGACTCCGATCAACATCTAAGCACCTAGCAAGGATCTTAGCTGTGTAAGAAGTTACGGCGGCAGCGAACGAAAGAAATGTTAGACCAAGCAGCCAGCCAGCCTGCTTCATTGCGAGCGGTAGGCTCAAGAGTCCAACGCCGATTAAAACATTCACGGAGTTGAAGATCGTTTGCGGCACGGTCGACTGGCCAACAACAATACTCTCGCGAGTACCATCTTCATGATGTACTTGCTTGACGAGTAGAGATTCAGTATCCTCACTCGCAGGTGCATCAAGGCGGGCTTCTTGCTCCCTGTGGAGTTGTACGGCGTGTCGCCGTGTCGCTTCGCTAACACGAGAGGATATGGTACCGTACGACGTTCCGGCGCTCCTATCCAACGATGATCCGAAAATGCTAGCGATTCCTTTTGGCGTACCTTGGTCATCGAGGCCATGACCATCTTCCTCACCGTCGGCAGCAAGCAATGGCCGACGGTCTTGGGACGTAGCAGTGTCATGCACGGCCCATTCTTCGTCGGATTCAACCGTCACAAACGAGGGACGGCGAGGAATTATTTCTGGGAATCCTGCAGCTCGTTGCCATGACCGAGCAAAACTATCAATACTGTTGACCCCACCTGCGTGTCTAAACCGCGCGGAAAATGATGCTGCCCTGAATGACGTAAATATTTGCAGCTAGGACAGCTCAAAATTTGACAGCTCACCTTGGTCTGTTGACAGAATAAGCATCGATTAAATATCCTGTCGGCCCTGAGGAATTCCCACGGGAAAACACATCGAGTTCTGGTGGTAAATCTGGAGGATTCGAACTTGGTATCCTGACACCAAGTGTCGTACGCTCAAGCGTACTAGAGCCTCCTATATCTTCGTCCTCAAATGGCGTTATGGGGCTCGGCATCGTTATTATTTCTTAACAGAGGAGGAGGATGGAGGAGTAAGTAGACGTGAGGGCGCTGGTGGTGTTGAGAAAGAAATTAAGAAACAAAAAGTAACAAGAATGCGAGGTCTCCGGAACCAAATTCGGATGAAAGCATGATAGAAGAGCAACCACAAAAATCCCTGCTTTCTTTTCTGCCAAGACACCTCTACATAAGTGAAAAAGTTCCGTTATTTAGGGAAACAGTGGGCAAGAGCTAATTAAGCACAGATAAACTATAGGACAGATACCTAGTTCGCTAATAAGTGTCTTGAGATGTATTACAACAAGGCGACGATGATAAAGGGGGTTGAAGGAGATACACAAAGAAATAAACATAGAAAAATACAGATTAGGATGAGTGCCCCTTAGTCAGTATTAGACATGTGCTTAGAAGCGAACTTGTATGTCTTATCTCATGGTTCACCCAAGTAACGGGGTACAATTGTTTTATTAGCATTGGTTCAGTTACAAACTTTCAATACTCGATAATGGATGACTATGGGTTATTCTGTATATAGTAGATTGTCAATGAATACAGGTACTGTCAGAACTGTAGTGCTGCCTACAATCTCTGGGATAGAGTACTACTATATACTTTGTGTGTGTGTATTACATACATATCGAGTCATAGTACTGTATTAGGTATAAGAAAATACGTGAATGTATATGTATTTCAAGCCAGCAATGTCAAACATACAGTACATCCAAAAACTAAATGTATGAAAGTGCCTCTGTGCCTGGAATTGAGTATCAATGAGTCTTTCTAGTACTCCAGAGGGTTGACTAGAATATCAAAAGTAATAGTTACACATACACATAGCTCACTTTAGCCTGTCATCAGTAGTGAGTGCTTTGGAGGGTTCTGTATAGTATCTACTGTTATGCATGTACCAGTAAAAGCATGGGACTGTCAAGCCTTTTTTTTTTAAAAAAAAAAAAAAAAAATGAAAGAAAGAAACCAAGAAATAGCGGATCTACGGAAGGCTGTATTGTTGTTTCGCTACCTGTCGGGTCGGGTACTTGCTACTACTACTACTAGTAGGTACCGCCTCTATATTTCATTGGCTTTGATTGGTTGGCTTACGACATGATACTTTTAGAGCCAATAGAATGCTAGAAAGTAAAGCGGAAGGGAACCACAGAACAAAATAGAATAAAATACAGACTGGCCAGAGACAGTAGAAATATGTATGTATGTGTGTACACTATACAGTGTATCATATCTGCGATACCTAAGAGAACAATAGTACAGTACAGGCTTGCATCTATGATTATATCAGCAACTACTAGTAACTAGTTGGCTAACTATTCTTATGGTCACTGCCACCCCACGGTGCCTGATGAAATTTGCTGAAAACACCCCCGCTACTGGATTTGGACGGCACATTGAACTAGCTTCAAGGTATGCAAATTATCACCCTCAGTTCCCGACTTTATTACTTGCTTCTTCTTCCTCGCTGTCTTTACACCTGTCCCCCCTTACCCCAATACTCTTTTAATTCTTCATCTTTAACAGAGCTCACGAGTTGACACTTTCGGTCAAGTACACACGTTAGGCTTTCTACCCCCAGTCGTTCAACATCGTCGTGTCGCCCAACATGAGCGCGGCTCAGGCGAATGAAGCGGAGAAGAACATCGAAATATGGAAGGTTAAAAAACTAATCAAACGTCTGGAGGCCGCCAGAGGAAATGGCACCTCGATGATCTCTCTTATCATCCGTAGGTTCTTCCACGGCCTCACCATTGCAGATCGCAGCTAACACTACACATTTCAGCTCCCAAGGATCAGGTATCTAGGGCGGCAAAAATGCTGGCTGAAGAATTTGTAAGAGTTTTGGTTAATTCCATTTTGGAAGAGAGAGACGCTAACCGAGATCCTGTAGGGCACTGCTTCCAATATCAAATCCCGGGTCAATCGCCTTTCTGTTCTGTCCGCCATCACTTCCACGCAGCAGCGTCTCAAGCTTTACAACAAGGTTCCCCCAAATGGCCTTGTCGTCTACTGCGGTGAGATTATCACCTCTGAGGGAAAGGAGCGTAAGATAAACATCGACTTCGAGCCATTCAAGCCTATCAATACGTCGCTTTACCTGTGTGACAACAAATTTCACACTGAGGCACTGAGCGAGCTTCTTGAATCGGACCAAAAATTCGGTTTTATTGTTATGGATGGAAACGGTGCACTTTTTGGCACGCTTAGTGGAAACACCAGAGAGGTCCTTCAGAAGTTGAGCGTCGATTTGCCCAAGAAACACGGCCGTGGTGGTCAATCAGCGCTGCGTTTTGCGCGTCTTCGTGAAGAGAAGCGCCATAACTACGTACGCAAAATTGCTGAGCTGGCCGTCCAAAATTACATAACCAATGACAAGATTAACGTTGCGGGTTTGATCTTAGCTGGTTCTGCCGACTTCAAGAACGACCTCAACCAGTCAGATATGTTCGATCAACGGTTGCAGTCCAAGGTGATCAAAGTCGTTGATGTATCTTACGGAGGAGAGAACGGTTTCAATCAGGCCATCGAACTCGCGTCGGAAACTTTGAGTAATGTGAAGTTTGTGCAGGAAAAGAAACTCATTGGCAAGTATTTCGAGGAAATTAGCCAAGACACCGGGAAAGTCTGCTACGGTATCGATGATACTCTCAAGGCGTTGGAACTTGGCGCAGCGGAGACACTTATTGTATACGAGAACTTGGATGTCACCCGATGGGTCTTGAAGGACTCGACCGGTTCCGAAGTTGTCATTCACACAACCAAAGCTCAAGAGGAGAACAACCGGGAATTGTTCCTCGACAAGGAAACCAACACTGAAATGGAAGTTGTCGATCAGTCCTCGTTCCTTGAGTGGCTTGCAGAGAGCTATAAAGATTTTGGTGCGGCTTTGGAGTTCGTTTCTGACAAGTCTAGTGAGGGTAACCAGTTTGTTAAGGGCTTTGGTGGTATTGGAGCTATCCTCCGGTATAAGGTCAATTTCGAACAGCTTGCCGACTATGATGACGAGGACGAGTTTTATGACGGTATGTTTGTTGTCAACGCTAGTTAACTAGCCTGCTGACGCCGAATTACTACAGATTGACGGTCCAGCGACCTCGCAGGGAGCGAGGATGAAAGGCCAGAAGTCCCCAAAGTGGGTCTTTTGACGGCTCGCCCTTTGTGGCATGAAGGCAGCTTTGATGGTAAAACCATCGCTTCATTGGTAAGGACCATACTGCCTGGACCGAGCTCTGTCCAGCTGCTCAAAGGTATGCGTGCACACACTTTCCAGCAAGAATGTTTATTGGGTAATTTCTAACAGCTATGCTACCTGACAGGGCCATCCAAGCTCCGTACTATTGAGATTTATGTTACCTACACGGTCTAGGTTGACACAAGGTGTACTTGGCACAGGGAAGGTGGATGTGATACGATGCAGCTACCCATAAGAAATTGTCAACCCTGTGGCATTTGAGCTAGCGAGTTAGGATTGATTTATCCCAGAAAAATATGCCTTTTTGGTGTTACTGTCCAGTTCTGTTCATTTTTCCTACATGCACTCTTTATACATGCCTAAAGAAAAGAAAAGAAAAAATGGGGGGAGAAGGAGAAAAGGGCGGGAACTCTCACCTGTCCTTCTAGATTACTTTGCCGTATTTGCGTGTATATTCAGTATTGTGCATTTACTTAGATATATTTTAGAAAGTTACTTTTCTCTGGCCTTTACCCACGATTACCCACAAGTTTACAAGTTTGCACTTGCAATTATCGACTAAACACATTGTTCATGATCACTCAGACCATGTCCCCAAATATCTACAAGTCTCGGTAACATTGCGCAAATAGCTCAGAATCTCAACTCCCACGCCTCTTTCCTCTAGAGTATCGGCTGTCTGGCACTCAACCAGGAAGACATACTGCCAATTCTTCTTCTGACTTGGCCGGGAGTTGATGCTTGTAAGGTTCATGCCATGGGTCTTGAATATTAACAAAGCCTCCGCCAATGCCCCAGGGGCATATTGACGAACCATGAACGATATCAAGGTTTTCCTTACTGTTGGTGCAGATGCTCCTTGCACGTGGCGATTATTCAAGTCTCCGAAAGGACGCGGAGCTGTACGGTCCGAGTTTTTGTTCCTCAGCACCAGGAAGCGTGTTGTATTATCGGTTTTGTCTTCGATATTCTCTTCTAAAACATCCAGGCCATGGAACTCAGCAGCAAAACGGCTAGCTATTGCAGCGCTTTGTTCTGTTTTTGCCTTTGAAACAATCTCCCCAGCCTTGGAAGTTGATGAGACATCCTGCCTTTCAATGCCTCTAAAGTATTTTCCAAGGAATCTTTCACATTGGCCCCAGGCTTGCGGGTGGGTGTAAAGCTTAGCTACAGAACCATAATCCTGTTGACTAGAGAATACACCTCTTCGGGCTAAAAGGCAATGGTGCACTGTCAAATAATGCACGCCGCATACCTCGACGTCCTCGTAAAGGCCTTCGGGGTCTGCCAGGAGGTCAAGAGTCTGAACGACTGAGCCGTTAGTCGAGTTTTCACAAGGAATGATAGCAAAATCTGCTTCACCCTGTTGTACTGCGGTGAAAGCGTCCGTGAATGATACACAAGGTAACAATTCAGCAGACCTCCCAAAGAATTCAACAGCAGCCTAGAATTCCGATTAATGATATTGGATTTTTTTGGGCTTAGGATCCTGACCTGGTGTGAAAAGGATGCAGCAGGTCCCAGGAATGTCACAGTGACATTCTCCATAGCTGTTGGAATTTATGGGACCAGGGAGAGAGTGAGGATATTCCGCTGTACTTGCTTGAGCCGAGAGACATCCCCGAGCGCAAGATATATGTGGGGGAACGTATTTGAAGCAAACAAGTCAAACAACATACTCAATATTGGTTATTGAGGTTGAATTAGCGAGCTTCTTCAATCACATTGCAATGGTCCCATGCCATCCCCTATTCCTATTGCTGCTAAACCCCAGAAGAAAGCCTTGTTATCATTATAAGCCCCATTTTCTGAATGAAGAGGAACATCTTACTCCCACTGGGGGGAAGAAGATCGGCAATCGCTTTGCGAACATACTCGTCACTTTGCGATCGTTTGCACCGCGAATTAACATCACGGATACTCCCTTTGACCTTTGATTATCTACATACCCAACCTTCCCATCTCCTGAGCTTGACATTAGCTGACCTTCTTCCGGGGCCTCTTGTATCGTCGCATATTCATACGGCCCTCCCCTCGGTCACTCGTGCATTTCGTATGCCGGCCGGCCATCACTTGGCTTATTTTCCTCCGCAGGTTACACTATCACAGTTACTACCAGATGGTACTGATGTCTTACATAGTCCCGGTGAACCTTTTGAAAGGCGTCTATGGGCGGGTGGAAGTGTCAGGTTTCCCGTCACAAGAGGTCTACTTCTTAATGGCGCTCGAGCTGTCTGTATCGAAACAATTCGTGACGTGATAGTCAAGGGACATGAAGGAGCGGAGAAAGTGATAGTTAAAATAGAGAGGCGAATGGGCGTGGTACAAGAGGGGGAGGGGGAGGGCAGTATCAGGGAGCGGGTAGGGAAAGAGACTGGAGACGAAGCTGGCCATGCTTTGGTCATTGAAAATAGGAATCTGGCTTTTATGCGGAAGAAAACACAAGGTGAACTGAATTATGACAAGATGAATTTTAATAACTTTCAACGAGTTATAAAACGTGCGCAAGTTCATCCAACACGCCTAAAATGTACATGCTGACTCCTATTTTCTTTTGTTTATCTCAAGCTCCTTCTAGCCCCGAATATCGCCTTCAAATCAAGCCGACAAGGTCATTGCTGTTTCGCTTCTCTGCTCTCACGTTCAATGCTCATTCCATTCACCTGGATGAAGCTTATACTCAGAATATAGAAGGTTTCCGGAACCTGCTAGTGCATGGGCCGTTGACTCTGACATTGTTGCTCGCCGTCCTTGAAGCACATCTCGCCAAATCAAACCAGATCATCAGGGAACTTGACTATCGAAATTTGGCTCCTCTTTATGTTGATGAGCCTCTAACCATCTGTGGCAAGCCAAAGTCTGGAAAGGACAATGCAGTATGGGATGTATGGATTGAAGGAAAGAACGGAGGCCTGGCAGTACGCGGTACTGCTTTTACAAGCACAGTGTAAGGAATGGGCTTCACGTCTTTATATCACCACGAGCACTGTCTCGATATACAGTTTCCCGGCACAAGCTAGTGTGCATCCCCTTGGGTAAGGAACTCAGTATCCATGCTTCCAGGAGATGGAATCCACGACTTGAAGCAAAGCACTAGTATAGAAGTTCGGCCGCCATGCTACGACCTTGATCTCTTCTACAACTATGCAGCCTAAACCATTCATTCATCATTAGATTGTTGATATGATCATCATTTTAAAGCCAACTTTATGGAGGAGCCATGGAAAGTCATGATTGATGCAAAATTTCATGCAGTAGATTTAGTTCATGGTCGGGACTAGGTCTCAAAGACGGCCTACTCTGCGATGTGGCTCTAGGAACCGAGGTTGCTTTATTTGGGTAAATACAAAGTTGTTCTCTAGACTAGAAATCTAGTCAGGGCAGCTTTCACGCAGCAAATATCAGAATAAGACTCCTGCGATCGATTAATAATTGTACACCTCCAACAAACTATTAACTAGTTATAGTAGTCATCACCCAACCATTCGGAATGCCCACTGTCAAATGAAATAACTATAAGGCTGCACTGCGAGCTCGGTAATTTCTCAAGCCTCATTCAAACAGAATTTAAATGAGACAATCACCGAGTCCACAGTCCCGAACCATCTCATCTTGATCCGCATAGCTCAATCTTCCTTCTGAGACCTCAGGCAGACATGACGTCGTATACAACACTGCCAGGTGGCCAGAGCTGGAAGCCTTGTTGAGCGGAATAAGCCCACCGCAGCAACGATACTATCATATAGATATCATAACTATATTTCAATAAGAAAAAGCGTCAAAAAATTATGTATTATATACATATTTGTCTTTTTAGTGACACCTTGGTTTCTAATATTTTAGCTATTAACTACAGGAGAGGAAATATATATATCTTAGATGAAAGAGTATCATGGCTGGTATTATATTTAATACCAATTAACAATGATTCTGCAAGAAACGCTCAAATCCATGGATACAATACAAAAGAGTGTAAAAGACTGCGTACGATATTACTCCATAAGTTAAAAAGATTTCTCTGACCGATACCGGAAAAAGGTACTGCCGCAAAATTGCACTAGTGGATGCCTTTTATATTTTGTCTCCCACAACATATTCCTCCTCCTTTCCTTTACTTTCGAACAACCAAGGTGATCTAAGTCAGGCACTGCATGATGTTTGCAACGTGTCTTGTTTATTCTTGATTCATCTTAACTATTCAATTTCTTATACTCACATAGATGCAATGGATCGTTTTTGGTCTGTGCCGCCTGTGACAAGGTACTCATCCTACATCCCTATCAAGCTGCCAACCCCTTGATCAAATGACTGATTCTTGAAATACCAGGACTTTAGTTACGCTTACTTTCGTTCAGTCTGCCCTTGTCTATGGCGGTCTACTAAGTGGTAGATATGTGGTATTCCGTCCGGAGCTAGTCTTCAAGCTACTTCCTGAGGCATGGAGGTTATTCTCGTCATTCTTTTTGACAGGGCCTCGCCTTGACTTTATACTTGATCTCTACTTCAGTACGAATCTGTGATGGCCTGGTCTAACCGCGCCACTAACATGCAGTAGTGTTCAAGTATGGCAGCGCTTTGGAGGCGTCATCACCGCGGTTCAACTTACCGGGTGACTTCTTCACGTACGTGTTCTTTGTAGCCACTGTTATTACGGTAAGTTATGGGAAAGCTTCGTTTCTCAGTGTCTTGGCAACCCTACCCTTTCTGCCTTTATTACCTCGCATATCTGCCCGCCCAGCCTTCATCTAGCTGAAGCGGTTCCTGGAAGTGAGGAAGATTACCCCTGCATCTCATACAGTACCACATTCGCATTATCATTTAGGGCTGCATGCGTTGCAGGTATGGTGGGACGGCCTTTGAGATAGCCTACGTGATTAAACTCTATTCACGTAGGTGGTTATGGTGCCCTACATATCAGAATTCTATTCTATGTCTTAGCAAAACAAATATGCTTATATCCGTTCACTTCGTCGAGTAGCCTTCCCCCTGTGCTGACAAGTTAAAAGCTCACCGCAGGTTGCCTATTAGATGATGTAATTTTCACCCATGGTGAGGCCGCTGCAGCATCCAGCATAATTTTACACACTAACCCTCGGCAGCACTAATAATCGCATTTGTCTACACCTTCGCCCAGGACAACCAAGGTAGAAAAGCCTCCTTTTTCGTGGTCCAACTGCCTGTTGAATTCCTACCATGGGCGATGCTCACCTGGACGCTTGTGCTTAGCGGGTGGCATGCAGCATTCAGTGAGAGCATGGGAATAGTCGCGGCACACATGTATGATTTCTTCTCACGCATATATCCGACTTTTGGAGGTGGTAGGAACTACATCATCACGCCGACTGTTGTGCGGAGAATCTTTAGCGCCCATACCCCCAGTCAGCACCGGGCCTATGGAACAGCTTATCGTCCGAACCCCGAAGAAGGCCGGGGCTCTTTTCAGAGCCCTTGGAGCAGTAGAGGACCAGGCAGAAGACTGGGCGGAGGCTAAAACGACTGTCTTAGTTGTACTATAATTTGATAATGATAGCCTCGGCGCCGAAGTATAAGGTGAATAGTTTGGGCATTTAGAGACACTGTAATTAGATAAAATAACTTAGTCGGCAGCGAACGTCGATTGCAACAAGGACTTCAGAGTTTTTCGTAGCTGTGGATCGGTTGCTATTCAAGTCACGGGATGTCTATTCAATTGGTAAGGGGATTTGCGCTAGCCTATTTTGTCATTAGACTGGTCGCCGCACTTCAAAATTTCCCATTACTGCTTTCTCGCTAGCGCCCCCAAAACTTTAGCTCGGTAGGTGCAATTTTTCCTGCGTTCTTTTCCAACCTGCGCGCACTCTTACTTGGCTACTCTGCACGCTCGGAGCAAGCCTGTTCAAAATGGCGGTCGCATTGGCTAAGGAAGAGATCGACTATACAATCAAGCCAGAGGCTGGCGCTTCCAACATTTCGACATCTGACTGGCCACTTTTACTGAAGAATTATGACAAACGTACGTGCGCATCTTACCTGTATTCTTGCAGAGCTCATTGGTATTCTGGCTTCGATGGCTTCATATCTTGCTCAAGTGACTAACTTTAACTGACTGTACTTTTACAGTCCTCGTCAGGACTGGTCATTTCACGCCAATTCCCGCCGGTTGTTCTCCTCTGAAACGTGACTTGAAGTCGTATATCAATTCTGGCGTGATCAACCTCGACAAGCCATCTAACCCATCCAGTCATGAAGTGGTTGCTTGGATGAAGCGGATTTTGAGGTAATACCACCAAGGCCAAAACAAAGGACAATTTGCTAAATCCCTTGGTTTTATCTTTTATCAGGGCAGAAAAAACCGGACACAGCGGAACTCTTGACCCAAAGGTCACCGGTTGTTTAATTGTTTGTATTGACCGTGCCACTCGTCTGGTTAAATCGCAGCAGGGTGCAGGAAAAGAATATGTCTGCGTGATCCGCCTGCACGACAAGATCCCGGGTGGTGAGGCGCAGTTCAGAAGAGCTCTTGAAACGTTGACCGGTGCACTTTTCCAGAGACCTCCACTGATCTCTGCTGTCAAGCGTCAGCTCCGTATCAGGACGATACACGAGAGTAAACTTTACGAATTCGACAATGATCGGCATCTTGGTGTCTTTTGGGTCAGTTGCGAGGCAGGAACATACATTCGAACTCTTTGTGTTCATTTGGGCCTCCTGCTCGGTGTTGGAGCGCATATGCAAGAGCTCAGACGTGTAAGAAGTGGAGCTATGGATGAAAACAGTGGTTTGGTGACTTTACACGATGTGCTCGACGCTCAGTGGATGTATGACAACCAGCGTGATGAGTCGTATCTGCGTAAAGTCATCAAGCCTCTTGAGACCCTACTCACAACTTACAAGCGTATTGTTGTTAAGGACAGCGCTGTGAATGCCGTATGCTACGGTGCCAAGCTCATGATCCCCGGTCTTCTGAGATTTGGTATGTTTCCATCCTCTTTTACCGCATTCATATGGTGCCATATGACTTCCCAGAAGAGTGATGATTAACGTGAGACAGAGGCTGGAATTGATGTCAACGAAGAAGTTGTACTTATGACTACTAAGGGTGAGGCCATTGCCATTGCCATTGCTCAGATGTCGACCGTGGAGCTGTCCACCTGTGACCACGGAGTTGTTGCCAAGGTTAAGCGTTGTATCATGGAACGCGATCTTTACCCACGGAGATGGGGTCTGGGCCCTGTCGCTCTGGAGAAGAAGAAGCTTAAATCGGCTGGGAAATTAGATGTACGCTTTCTACTTTTCGCCCCTTTACTTTGCTTTGTGTTTTGAGTTGCCACTGATAGCCTGATGCAGAAGTATGGTCGAGCCAATGAAGCGACACCCGCCAAGTGGAAAAATGATTATAAAGATTACAGCGCGCCAGAGGCCTCCGAGCAATTGGCAGTTGAGCCAGCACCTAAGAGCGAGATGGCTGTTCCTACATCTGAGCAGGCCGAAGCTCCCTCGTCGCCCCCAAATGAGATGGAGGTTGATGAGTCCAAGGAGGACGAGAAAAAGAAACGTAAGCGACATGAGGGAGAGACTCCCGAGGAGCGAGCTGAGCGCAAGCGCAAGAAGAAGGAGAAGAAAGAGAAGAAAGAGAGACGAAAGTCCAAGCAGGAGAAGGAGGAGAGTGATGACAGCGATTAAGGCTTCCCAGGAAGTCCCTTGGTTGCTTCCGATAACTTAGTCTTCCTGTCTGGGAGATTCCAACTTCACCTGTCTCTAAATCGTTATCGGGGCATCACCTGGGCATAATTCCTGTATCATACATGTTTTTCTTTATCGGAGTCTTGGGTTGAAAAGGGAAATCAACATCCATTGTTTTGTTTTGTTTTAGTGATTTTCTATTGAATAATAGTTTCGCTAGGTTAGGAAACGTGTTCCAAGATCTTTCTAGGGGAAAGACAAGAAGGAGAATGGCATCATGAGAGTAATACTTGTTACTCGTAGGTCTTGTTGTGGTGTAGGATGTCTAAAAGCCGATTGGCCAAGTGGCTGAGACCGAGGTATCGTGACCTTGGTGCCGGGTCTTCCATGTACGTGCCACTTCCCCCTCCTACCCAGGTCCACGGTACATACGACACGTACTGCTGATTGATATCTCACCCTCTACTCCATGTGTCGATGAGGGATCGGTTACCTAAGGAATCTACGACAATCATGGCTGCGGAGCTCACGTCAACAAAGCTAAACGCGGAGAATCATCTGCTTTTGGTAATGCCTACCCAATATCATCAGGTTTGGGTTCAAATTATATATTGACTCCCTTCTCCCTCGTAGGACCAACCCCTCCTACGACTACCTCACGAACTTGCACGAAAGAATTTCAAATCAGTTCAGCGGATTGTGGAACGGGAAAGGGAGTATATTATCCCCTCACTGAAAGCAACTGCCAGTGTCTCGCGGTGCAATGATCAAACACCAGATCAAACGCTCGCTGCTCTAGATGCTATGATATCCCGGATGCAAGGCCTTAAGCGAAAAATGGAGAATTTGCATCAGGAAGAGAAAAATATTCATGGCCAGTCAAAAAAGCGTATACAGCATCTGGAAAACCTTCATCACATACATAGTTTGGCAGATGTCAAGTATGATCAGTGGTCGAGAGTCCGGTTAGATAGACTTGTGGCAGACTATATGCTGCGGTCGGGCTATACGGAAAGTGCCCGGCAATTGGCCCATGAGAAGGAGGTCGAGGATCTCGTAGATCTCAATGTTTTCATCCAGTGCCAGCGGGTTGCTGAAAGCTTGCGTCGTGGGGAATCTAAGGACGCTCTGCAATGGTGCAATGAAAATAAAGCAGCGCTAAAGAAGAGCCAGGTCTGTGTCTGGGTTCACATAAGTTGCGAACTGACCTACTGACATTCGATTGCAGCATAATTTGGAGTTTGAGCTACGTTTACAGCAATATATCGAAATGGTAAGGACTGGTGACAAAGGGAAGCTTGTTGAAGCTATGGTGCACGCAAAAAGATTCCTTAGTCCTTATATTGAATCGCAATCAGCAGAAATTCATCGGGCGGCAGGCCTTCTAGCTTTCCCCCGGGACACGATTGCCGAGCCGTATAAGGTATTATATCATTTCCTAGATCAGTTTCTTCATAGACTCTAATAACGTATGACCAGTCGATGTACGCGCCTGATCGGTGGAGTTACCTTTCTGACCTCTTTGTTCGCACTCACCATGAACTCCTATCACTGCCGTCGCGCCCCTTACTACACATTGCTCTGTCTGCCGGGCTATCAGCTCTCAAGACACCATCTTGCCATTCGGCTTATACGTCTTCAAGCTCTAATTCTCTGTCCACTACGACGACAGTCTGTCCCATATGCTCAACTGAGTTACATGAGCTTGCGCGCAACATGCCCTACGCCCACCATACCAAAAGTTATGTTGAGACTGATCCGATTGTTCTACCAAATGGTCGAATTTATGGCCAACAGCGCTTGTTAGAAATGAGTAAGAAAGTTGGTTGCGTTGAAGTTGGCAAGGTCAAGGACCCTACAACCGGCGAAGTTTTTGATGAGAATGAATTAAAAAAGGTTTACATCATGTAGCCACGGACCCGATTCTCGTCCTTTTCTTTCATTTGCTCTCATTTCGGGATGAACAGCAGACTGCATGGAAATAAGAAATTTCAGTTTCTCTGGCCTCTCAGTCACTATCATCACTAGTCGATGCTCTTGATCTCTTATTCCTCGAAGTTTTATCCCTCTTTAAGGATTGGAAATCCATCGTAGGCACTATGCGCTCTTCCTTTAGCTCAAATACGTACATTCTAGCTTCTCTATCTTCTCCTCTCCAACCACCCCTTCCTCCATTTTTCGCTTCAATTTCGCCCAAGGTCCGAGCATGAGAGTATCCTCTGTAGGATGCCCACGGAAACCTAAAGCTAGTAACAACCCTTAGACCGGCATGGCGCGCAAGATCCTTGATATTCCAAAGAGTGTACGGCTCTCCTTCGAATAGTGTGACTATGATCTGTCCAGGCTCATTCCGGAGTTTTCTGCTCTCTTGTGCCATGTCTTTTTGCGAGCCCGGCATATCAGCGTTATCCTCACCATCGAAGTCAGATCCGCTTTCGGTGCTAGAATCCCACCCATCCTCGTTTACATTGTCACCCGTTTCGGGATGAGACGACAGTAGCGGTACGCAAGCTTTGAAAAAGGAAACCAAAAGTTCTTGGTTGGCACGAACTTGTCGATTTACATTGGTGGACAAGCCTCCAACATGGGGAAAATTGAAGCAAATAATGTCCCATGGTCCACCTCTGGTTGGGGGAAGGGTTGTGGTGCCACTACTCCTCTTGGCTTCTTGCCATGCAGGGCGTTTACGTACCCGGCGAGGGAATCCGAAGCGTACTTCTTTCCCTCCTCCAGAGGCGTGGCCAAGTTTCCGAGCGTCGACTGAAAAAAGGACATTGGGCCGGCGACGTTGCCTTGGTTTGTCTTGATCTAGTCCTTTTTCTCCCCTTCCTCCGTGTCTCTCATAATCATCGTCACGATAGCATTCCTGGTTTTGACTTTGGTTTTGGCTCTCTAGTTCGATAGCGATACTTGAGTCCGAGGTATCGTCTTTCATCTTGGGGGCGCCACTAAGAATTCCACGAACATTAGGTTCAGCCCGGGGGTACTTGCTGTACAATACTTCTTCAGAATCGTAGCATGTGGCCAGGACGTTCTTGCAGCAATGTTGGTCAACTAAAGAGCGGGCAAAAGAGAAGTCACCTGCGCAGACCATTAGCTGTGGAGGTATAAACACTACATGATTGTACGGCATGATGATAAAATTCAAAGGAAATCCAGGAGGGGGGGTACCATACCTTCTCCAACCAACAAAATTCGATCATTTTTCCTAAAGGGGATGATCGGCCGTTGACGCAAAGGGTTCTTCTTGCCGACATTCTGCTTAGGTGAAGACGACGCAGACGGAATAGTACTCGAAAGCTTGGAGAAGGTGTGCATTTTACGAGGTTTTTTTGGATTGCCACCTCCATGGCCAGTATGCAATCGTGCCCTCTTCGACTTCGGCATGCTGTCTAGTTTCTGGAAGGTAAACTGAGGTCGAAGATAGCCTGGCGGGCAGAGATTGACAATAACTAACTTGATGCTTGTGCTGCACAAATTAGGAAGAGCGTTTGATTTGATCTGTTCCAAGAAGGGGCTGCTTGCAGGCCCTGAAGACACACCGAGGTGCTAGATTTGGTTGAGGATCTTCGATTTTATGACGATTTTAAAGAGCGCCTTACAAAGCGCCGGCCCGTCCCTTCCGATCAATACTGATATAATACATCCTGGGGTGGTTATTATACTGGCAGGTAAAGTTGACGATAGATCAGGAAGGGGAAAACTTTAGGACTTTGCAGGGTAAGAGAATTTCAAAAAGTTTCAACTCTCACCAAAAATATAACTCTCCCCGACTGGGAGTCGAACCCAGGTCTCCCGCGCTTGTTCTCATCTGAGATGACAAGCGGAAATCATGACCGTTAGACCATCGAGGATAATACATAATATACCACCAATTTTTTTAATCTATTTTATTTTTGCATTGAAAATAATGTATCCTTGTACAGTTTCCCATGTAGATAGCAAGCAGATACTTGTATCAACGATAGTGTTAGGGGGGCTGATATAAGTCACAAAGTGTCAGGTATTTTAAAAATTTCTCACCTATAAGCCATGTGGAAGGGCTCTGAATGAACGGAGATCTACATACAGTGAACACAACCCATATGAAACTGCCTCTGCTTCTCTGGGATGTATGTTAGAGAATTTCCAGAAGGCCATTGTTCAATTCTGGTGTCCGTTTTGAACTTTGACTGTAGAGAGTAGGAGGACTGCAGGAGATCTGAACAGAGGGAGGGGAGGGAAGGGAAAAAAATATAGAACAAGGCGAGAGAGTACGAATGATTGAATAAACAAATAATATCGCCTCTTGCTTTGTAGGGAAGTACTTCGCAACTTCACCTGGTATCTTAAAACACTATGCGAACGTCAAGTTTTCCCATGATAGTGCCATGGCTCCCCTATGGTGGTTCATGGATACATAGATTTTATAGAGCACAAGGTCGGAGTTGCATGTTCACAATGAGAGGCCATCCATGCGATTACACATCCCGTCCATAAAAACATACGAGCCTAGATAGAGGAACTTAGAAACTCATGAGGTGATGTTATCATCCAAGATATTCTGCTTGCATCGTCCCCAAAGAGTATCCCGCTACTGCACTGTAGCTAGTCAATAGCACGAGCTTGCCCTTGGAGAGAACTTTTAGCAAAGGATATTTTCTATAACCTCAATAAAAGAAGATAAAGGTCCATATATACAGATTCCAACCCCAAAAGGAGGAAGAAAAGGGTCTTTTCTCTCGCACAATGATCAAGACTCCTAGACATCTTATTGCACCCCAGATCGCAACGAATACACTCCAAGCTTCTTCCCACATGATATCTAGAACAAACCACGCCCCAGCATTATAACATGTTACGTGCAACAAAGTGCGCTGCTAGCACATCAAGAAATGATATGTGAGATTATCAGCACGGACATCAACGCCATAAATAGGTGAATGGGCAGCAATGAGGTCAGACGTGTTAGAAACCAGGCATGTTAAGTAGGTTGTCGAGAAGAATATAAGCACACCAAGTCAGCCCTCAAAGAACACCAACAACCGGAATACACCTAGACTGTAATGAAATGCATGTATCCATGTAACGTACAAGTAATGTACCGACTCGTGGCGCCAAGGACCCACGAACATGATCCGATATGAAAAACGTTCGAAAGGAGGTAACACTCCTACGCGTAATATAGCAGTTGCCACTTCAAGACCGCAGAGAATCCCTCATACTTTGACTGCTAGCGCTGACAAGTGGATTGGAAGTGGGCAAGACACCAGTCTTTGGTTTGGCGTTTTGCTTAATCTTGGCGATCGCATATACGATTCCACTGACGAAGCCTACAGCAATAGCGGAAACACTGGGAAATGTCACCGGAGCATCAAAGAAAATCAACCCTGACAGGGCGATGGGCAATTTGTTGAGTGCCCCAACCATGGAATAAGTGGTTGAGGATGTCACGCGAACACACCAGGCTGAGGTGTAAGAGATAAATACCGAGGACAAACCAGACAGGATCATCGCAAACATGATGCTGCTACGGTCGGCTGGAGGGAAGTTGCGGTTGATGTTAACGGAAGACCAGTCTTCCATCAAACCTGTGAGAACAACAAGGACAGGGATCGACAACAGATTATTATAGAACATGGCTAAGGGGAAAGTCAGCAAAGGAAAACTTCCAACGATCACCATGAATGATCACATACTATCGAAGTCCTTGAAATTGGTCAACTTGATTCTCTTGCGCATTCCTAGGACATAGGATGATGTGCAGAGACAGTTTATCAACATCCATATGTATCCGGAATTAAGTGTTGAGACTTGGGCGCTCGTATCTCCACTGCTCTCAACAGCATGCTTGATGTCGGCCCATGCAGCAATGATGGAACTGAGTACCATGAGCCCGAAAGAGAACAAGGTCAGGCCGGTAACGGAACCACCAAACCAGAGGACCTCACCGTAGGCAATGAGGATGATCGTTAGGTTCTTGAAGATAGTGTATACTGGGATAGAGAGGAACTGAAGCGCTTTGGAGCCCGTGTAAATCATTCCAATAAGAAGTAAACTGATAGGGAACCCTGATTGTACAATACAAATTAGTTCATTCTATAAGTGTCACAAGAAGCATTTAAAAGTACTTACACTTCTTTGCTTCATCTGCACTGAAGTCACGGTACGTGATAAGACCGCAAAATTTGCATGTTTGGATCGCAATAATACAAACAATGGACTGAGTTACAGGAAAAACGAGCAGTCAGTGCAAGTCCGTATTTGAAACCTACGTTCGCGGTGGCTTCAGCTTCTTGATATCATACCTGAACGCAGAGCAGAAAGAAGTTGAGATTGAAGTCCAACCCAGAAAGAACATATTTGTTCATGACAGTCATCAAGATTGATGATCCACAATACGCCAATACAGGCAGGAAAGGGTTGTTGGAGAGCGAACTGGAAGGGACACTTCTGGGCTGAGGCGGCGCAACAGCTTCGAAATTCTTGTTCCCCTGATCTATTTTATCCATCTCGATTGTATAATCATCGGTCTTCTTGCCTTCCGCCATATTCTCAAATATACTGATCACCCCGAAGCAGGAGTGACTATGACGATAACGGTGAAATGGGGCGATAAGACCAAGAATAAAATCAAGGTAAGGCTGAAACTGTGAAGTAGAGCCGTTGTTGGCACGGGAAGTGGCGAGGCAAAGGGAGGTTTCGAGAGCGAAGGGAGACTATCAAGTGTACCTAAAGACTGATGACAAGGAGTGTGGGGACAATAGAATCAAATCCAAATCATAAACGGGACAACAGAAAAGCAGGCCGGGAGGAAGGTAGAGGGATGGAGAGAAAGACGAAGAGGCTGAGGAGACAAGTGAAAGAAATAAAGAAAGACAGGAAGGACTTTTTGGCTGGGCCGGAAGCGGCAACTTCTAATGTAATGTATGTACCTATACATGAGAATACAACGGAAGCAGTAAGTATGGAATTAATGCACACCTGCTAATATTTACCAGACAATGCAGGGCGCCGCAGGCTGATGCATTTCCATTTCTGACATTTCTTGTTATTGAAAAGAAGCGAAAGGAGAAAACCCAACAAACACAAAGGGAGAAGGGGTGTTAGCCATTCAATTGAGTTTACTTAGATATAAGGGGAGCTGGTACTGTATCAGTAGAACTCGATACCAGTACACAAGAATTACAACTGCACCTCCTGAGAATTATCTTTACACTGATTTGTATCCAACTAGCAACATTGCCACTCCCGCAATGCAGTGACGAGTGAAATGCCGATTCGCCCTTTTGGATCCTTGAATATCAATACTTCCATCCCGGCATTGGGTTTATACCTTACCCCGGAACCGGAGCAGCCTATACGACCCCTCTGCCCGCCACGAGAGAAAAAGCATCGCTGTCTATTGTCCTCTACAGACCTAACTCGCTCTATTAATCTTTCTGGGCAATTGTCGTGCGGAAAATCTCCCTCTGCAATTCCACCACGGGTTTCGCCATGACCCAAAACATTGAGCCCAAACACTCCGTAAGAGACCAAGATGATGAGATCGACGACGACGATTTGTTGAAGGCCTTGGAGAACGAAGATGACTCTGACTATCGGGCCCGACGTATCGAACAACTCAACGCCGAGCTTGCATCCGCCCAAAACAACCGGTCAATGGCCCCTGGCCCTGGCCAGACGACAATCATCCAAGATAGCCTATACCCAACTCTTGAAAATGACCAGATATTGCTCAACTTCACAACGGATACGCATCGATGTGTGATCCATTTTGCACACCCTGATTTCGCGCGCTGTGGCACCATGGATGAACATATGCGGGCTTTAGCAACACGGCATTACGATGTGCGATTTGCCCGTGTCGATGTTAGGGATACTCCGTTCGTGGTGGAAAAGCTGAAGATACGCGTTCTCCCTTGTGTGATCGGGTTTAAAGATGGAATTGCTGCTGAGCGTGTAGTTGGCTTTGAAGGCCTTGCTTTGGGCGGGCGTGATGGGACCGACAGCTTCAGCACGGCAACTCTTGAAAAGAGGCTGTTATGGAAAGGTGTTCTAGTACAGGCAAAGATTAGCGATGATAATGATGATTCCAGTATATCTGATGCAGTTGACGAAGTCGAGAACGACGGCAAACGACGAACTCATGGAAAAGGGGCCATCCGCAGCGGGGGAGCACGGTATAGCAGGGACGACGACGACGACGACGATTGGGATTGAAAAGGGGTATTTACTGCCTTCTAACCCTTATATTCACGAGATCTTATGCCACAATATGCGCGGAGCTTCTAGCCTAGAGCATAAGGCCCAGGATTCGTTTGTTGAGACATATAGCTTGGTTGTGGCTGCTCACTGGGTGCACATTTTACAAATGGCTGTCCTGAAATTGAAACGAGGTGCTGTGGGTTTCACGTTCTCCCAACCCTTGACCATTTAGACAGCTTTCCACTAAGCATTGGAAGCCGCATTTCGAGTGGAACAGATATAATGATCACTGTAGTCGCATAAGTATGAGCTTGCTTGCTTGCAAGTATGGAAATGAACAGATCCCATAGCATTTTCATTTGCTGTGGCTGATACCAGAGAGGACTAAACTTGTTGTGTACTAAAGCTTTGAAAACCTGGCCAAGCCTCGAACGATTACCCTACTATCAATGCAAAGTACAATATATCGTATCACCCGTACCTATATCATTGAAAAGTATGGCGCAAAAAGAAAAAAGAAAGAAAGAAAGAAAACTTATACTGAATGAATATCGAGCTAAAGTTACAAGTAGTACGAGTGGAACAAACCGCGAGAGACCATCCCAAGCGAAGAAAAGACTTAAGACGCTTCTATAACGTAGAAGAATGTCACAACCACAGAATATTAGAGTTAGGATTTATACAAGGCTGTCAGCATGGTCTCCACAAAAAATTCATCAGTTCGACATTGGCGTTTGGAAGTTTAAACAAGACGATAAAGGAGAACATATTACTTATCCGAGCGATAAAGCAAGGTGTTCATAATGGGGATAAATGGAAGCATGAAAAATAGGCTAATGAAAAATATCGAATCAGGCTTAGATAGCCACGTTTTTCATTTCGCCCAAGGTCTCCGCGTCCAAGGCAGTGCCAGGAGATCCATGGGTCGGCTCCTGCTTCTGCATCTTCTCAGTCTCCGGCTGTTTTTGCTCAGCACCTTTGTCAACAACATCTTCGGCCTCTTTACCCACATATGTCGACACTTCCATCAGATCTTCGCTTTGTGCTTTCTTTGTATCATCACTTTTCAAGACGTCCTCTGATATGTCGCTATCCGCATTTGTGTGTACAGGACTTGGGGCTTCTTCTGTGACGCGAGCAAGAGGGCTGGATATACCAAACTGCGTCTTGGGACTTTGAGTAGATCCGCGATTGGGAAAGCGGTGAGGGGATCTCCCACGTTCTTCACTGGGGGTTGGGCTCCCATAAGGGGATTCCTTTCCGGACTTACTACCGGTATTCAGTCCAAGACCATTAGGGCCCTTGCGACGTGGTGGCCTCCGACCATACTTCTGATCTGTACGCCAGCGTAGAATTTCCATATAGGGAGGCTCAACATTTTGAGCCTTGAATTCCAATAGTTTGAGTTCATTCGTCTCTTCATCCACAGAAACCTTGCCGCTGCAGAGGTCATCAGCCATAACTGCGAGGAAAGAGGCCCAAGACCGAGCGATAACGTATTTGCAGTCATAATCCCGACCGAATATAATGACTTGGCCCCACTTGCCAGCAGGTCCCGGTGCAAGATCGATTGCGATACAATTTCCACCCCAGTCACGAGCCATAGGAATCCAAGCAGGATGGGCATACGCTTTCTGAACGGCACCGGAGGGCTGAGAGTCTTGTCGCTCGAGAAGATCCTGTCTCCACAACGGATTTGACCCTGTGGTAGGAGCTGGAGGGGCAACCGAAGAAGAGCCTGCTGCAGCTTTGGGAGAAGTGTTGATAATGCCGGATGAGCTGAGGAATTCATCATTGACAGTTCGCCAGTTCTTCCATTCCTGGACTATCTCTTCGCAGTCCAGAAGCATACACCCAAAAACCACACCAGTGGGCAAGCCTGGACGCTCTTGTCCGTCATGAGCCATCAAAGATTCCCGAACCTCCAACGGTAGGCTACAGTCCAAGTCATGCTCCAACTCATTGATATCGTTCTGAGTACAACCTTCGCAGAGATTGTCGTAAAGCTCCTCGTAGTTGTTCTCTAGCCATCGCTCGATCTTTCTCCATGAATGAGCGACTGGGGGGGGTGGCGGTGCGCCATCATGGAAACTTTGCATTTGGATCTCTGCCGCCCCATCTACTCCGGGGTCGGTCGAGCGTCGCTTCTGGGAGGAGAGCGATCGCATTCCGGGCGAGTAAGGACGAGTAGGGGAGCCAATTCCAGTAGGGGAGCCGGCCCAGCCGTTAGATGTCGTTGCGCCTTTGGACTGCTCATCCTCGTAGGTTTCCGTTAGGTCAGGTCGCGACTCAATGGCGCTTGTTGCAATCGATGTAAGAGGCTCATGGCGACTCTGACTGAGAGGAACATGTCTACCCGTTCGATAAGGAGAGTCGTGGGATGCATGCCGATCATAAGAAGTCATTGTATGCCAAAAGGAACGCCATGCCGAAGTAATTCTGTTGCCGAGTCAGAGGCGGGCATTCACTCTGGACCCGGGGGGGGGGGGGGCGAGTCTCCCTGAGGGAGAGTCGAAGATACTCACGGATTCGCCATGATGAAAACTTTAGCAAAATGAGGGCAGACTGATCTCAAACAAGAATCTACTCCTCCCGAGTTTTTATGAGTGCCAAACACTGGTCATTGGGTAATTGTGGAGCTCGTGGTCAGGAGTGTAAGGGAAGGGACGGGAACAGGAGGAAAGGGTGACAATGTTGAATGTTTCCAGCAGAGGGTACGAGGGCCGAAAGTAGGAGTAGATAACCAGGCGGAAGGATAGTGAGGGAAGTTCGTAATGGCGTATGGGGTGCTGGTTCAAAGGCCAGAGAAAGAAAGTGGTTTTAGAGAAAAAGAGAAGAAGGGCAAAAAAAAAAAAAAAGAGGGAGAGAGAGGGAGGGACGGAGGGAGGGAGATTCTATCCAAGGGAGAGATGGGATTGTGATAATGGGCAATGACCAGTCTCAACTATCCTGAAGACAGACTATTGATAGTAATATTTCTTGTTTCACGTCTGGGCTGTTTCTGTTTCTGCTTCTGTATCTTATACTTATTCGTCCTTCTTCTCTTGTTCCTCTTTTCCCTGATCCTCTTGATTAGCGTGTTGGTGGGTTGGCGCGACGATGGCATCCACGATTCGTTCCTCGACCCCTGGAAGGCGACCGGAACCAGGGATGGAGCGTTTCCAGCCATAACATACGGTAGTACGGTAATTTATAGAATCGAAACAATTAATATCCGAACTATGTACATACATACATACATGTACATACGTACAGTACATCATTATACCTCTGTACCTATACCGAAGTACACATGTATTGTTAATATACAGTGTACTGTACTAAATTCTGTATAACAATCCATCCAGTACATGGACTTCTATATTCTTTTTGTTAACTGGAACTATCCCAATTTGCCCAGTCATAACAGGACAAATCCAATCCATTGGGCTATACATAAGCTAAGAACGAAATACCCACTCTCAAGTCATGCTGTGACTAGTCGGGTTATTGTCCCAGTGGCCTTGTGAGATCTGGAATCACTTTCTTATTTTCATTGAGTTTATCGAATTGCCCTTTCTATCATACTTATGCTCACTCCCTGATATACATTCTCTTCTCTCTCTCTCTCTCTGTGTGTGTGTGTTAGATTTTGTGGGTTTATTGATTATGAAAATTAGGTAAGTAAAGTGTTCTATCAGTAGCGCATTATACAAATATATAATAATAGTGTATACTTTCTCCCATAAGTTTCAATAGCTCCATTCGCGATTGCTCACGGAATTCAGGGAGTACTAAGTATATCCCACACCAAGAGAGACTTGCAGATTCATGCTACTATATAGAGTACTCTGTAGATCGATTCATTACCCAAATATAGACATCTTGAGTTGCTAGGCCTGTGTCACCTATTTTTATGTATGGTGCGTACCTTCAGTATAAGTATAGTACCTACCCTGTACAGTGGTATAATCATACGGTATCGTCCCATCCACAGGAACCGCCGCGAGTTACAAAATTCGACAGCTCGAAAGCTAACAGTGGATCTACATACAGTGCATTGGTGATCTAGTATTAGGTGTACCTGAAGCGGTGGCGTTCTAGTTGAATACCAATTGGCAATCCCTTTACAATGCCGGATGAGTAAAGGAATACTTACCCCAGTGAATTGACTGTGGCAACAGTTTCGCCTGCAGTATCATTTAAGGTGCGGAAACGTAGCCAGGGCGCTTTGTCGCCGCAGGCTACCACTTCGACTCAAGAATAAAGAAGTATATTGTGGGAAAAACCTGAGTGACTGTCTAAACTAACCTCCACGAAGGCAATGGAATTCTTAGTTTTGAGGTCGTAATTTGCTGTACCGGGTGGGGACGACCAGTGGTGCCTACTCCGTCCACGGTAGTCTCCGGCGCTACTCTGCATAGTTTGACCCGTTTTGCAGTCGACCTTGTAATCGAGTTCTGGATTGTCACCTGTCCCTCTTCTGTAATCTGATAATCTCTACCTGGTACATCTCTGAACACACATAATTGCTGGTGGTATAAGTGTGTAAGATCATCTCCAAGCCCACCCTGCAAGTGGGTTTGCAGTGACTACACTTGATGATGTTCCCACCCATCTTGTAATGTTCGAGGTTAGCATAAAGCGTGTCATTTGATGATCTAAAAAGCAAGATGAACCGGTATTTCGGATAGTTTTGCGGTAAGGAATGCATAGGTAGTTAGAACGAGAGTAGAGGCGTCATATAGACATGGTGTGTGAGGTATTGAACGTAAGATAAGGGGAAAGGAAAACCAAATATGGACGAAGAAAGTTTAGGCTATGAGAAAGTCATCCCTTGACTAGACATTGTAAATGTGATATGAGACAGGCGTGGCATCAGATAAAAAAGGATAAAAAAAAAGCTATCAGGGAGAAATAAAAAAAAAAAAAAGTGATTAAAATTGGCACCGACAGCTAAATGAGTGACATCAGAGGTGCCTGATCAGTCGTCCAAACAATATCCCAAAGCAACACACCCCGAGAAAGAGCACTGATAAAGGCAACCGGACTCCGCGTTCGATGCAAATGAAGGGTATAAAGACGTCCCGCTGAAGGACCAATAAACCCATCAATTTATCAATTACAACAATGACCACGACTAGCGTGAACCGCGGAAAAAACACCGAGAATCTTGGCCATAGACGATGAGAGACTGCCACCGAAAACATTAGACGAGACGAAAGAACCCTAAGGCTCATGACAAGATGTCATTCAGCATGGAAATGAAACTTGAAAAATGGAGCATCGATTGTCATGCACAAATGTAATGCAGAATGCAAGAAAGCGTAAACGAGGAAAGAAAAAGAAGGGATATGACATTACGCATATGAACTCTGAATACCGCTGGACGGCAGGCCTGGGTTCACATCAAGCTTCAGAATTCTCCGCAGATCGTCTTCCATTTTTTTCGTGTCCAGAGCTTTGGTGGACGTGTTTGAGACTTGCGACGTAGGTGACTGGTAAACTGGCGGATAATTTGGACTCTGAATAGGATTGATGGCGAATTTAGTCTGAGTGTACACTGGAGAAGAAGATGTTACTCCTGAGACGTTTCCCATGTTCCCTGGGATTGATGAAAGAGCTCCTTTCTTGGAGGTCGAGGTTTGACCTTGTGAGGGCTGAGAGTTGATAGTGTATGAATTGGAAAATGACGATTGCCATCCGTTCCCGACCGTTGATTGATTCTGCCCGGGCATCACGTTGCTATAAAGAGCTGCTGACGGGCCAGAGGCTGTCCTGAGTGCAGTCGCAACATGAGGCACATTGCCAATGGGGGTAGGCTGCTCGTTGACACCGTTGGTTTGACTAGAGGATGATTTTGACACATACGAGGGCCTCTGGGGACGTGGGTTGAGTAACAAATCCTTCAAGGCCTCGGTTTTGGCTCTTCGCTGCTCCTCATCAAGTTCTACCACAGAGTGAGAGGGAGGACTGGCAGATCGCAATGCATTCATGCGATCTTTGTAGGATGCAGCAAATGAGGGTCCTATCTGCGACTTATGAGGCGCCGGATAGTCTACCCCCAATGGCAATGTCTCTTCTGTAGAGCCATTGGGCTTGCGTTGCGGCAGGGACTTGGAGTCCGTGTGTGGGGAGCGAATCCTGGTGCTTGCCTCGGGACTACACTGGGGCTGAGAGTTCCTAGCTTCAACTGCAGCTTTAAAAAGGAAATCCAAGGGTGTTGGCTGCGGTTCTTCAGTTTGGAACTGTGGGCGTGGCCTCAGCTTTGAGGGCGTGGCCTCATATTCCGGCCCAACTTCGTATTTATCGCCATCTGCTTCTATTGCCGGGGCAAGATCGGGATCCGGTATTGACTTCGAGAAAAAGCTCGGGATTGGAAGGGAAGAGGGAGCTGGGGAGGCATGGAACGTCGGACCGGCATAGTGAGGGCTATCTTTTAGCTGAGGCGTGGTGATATTGTTAGAATATGAAGATGTGCGGTGGTGGCCGGTCCTTTGCGCCGGCGAAACCTTAGATAGATCTCGTGGCTTCTTGTTAGATCGGGCACCTTTCTTCTTAGATAGATTGGCAGAGGAATCAGTAGCTGTTCCTCCTGGGCTCATGTTCCTCGGAGGCGACGAGGGAGGAGTCGTTAGCAGAGTAGCCCTTTGTGTAGTCGGTGTCGCATTTCGTTTTGGGTTACGCCGGTTGTTCCGAGGGCCTTTTGGTGTTGGAGTTGGCGACAGATTCGACATTGTGACTGGTTGGCTTAAAGATAGGTAGTCAGAGTAGCTTGCAAGAGGGAAAGGAAATGATGTATTCTCAAAAGGAAAAAGGGAAAAAAGGAGGAAGAAGAAAATGATAATAGTTGACAGCGCAAAATATATAGGGTCGAATAGGCTGCAGTACTGCCCAGCAGTCTGTTCTGATCACGTTAACGCCGGTCGTGGATAAGGACAATAAGATCAGGCATGGAGCGCCGATAGCACTGTAAGAGCCTAATTTGTATTTAAATGATAACAAATCGGTTCAAGAGGCGCGAATGCATCTATTACTGGAATCAAATAATAAACAACGAAAGAAGGATGCCGGAACTCCTAGGCATGCTTGTTTCTGGACAGGCAAATAATAGAGAGAGTGGAATAAAAGCAGAGGGGCATTGTCCCAGGACGTTGATGTTGTGATGTGATGAGGTAGGTGAAAATGGACATTGGGAGGGCGGCTGGGGCATTGAAGGCGGGGATCGGTTATGACTAATGGCTAGGCGGCGAGGTAGTGCAACGCCTCAACCTCGCTCTGCCCAACTAAGGTGCAAACAAAACAAAGTCTCGAAGGAGGACTTCAAAGTACCAACTTACTTTCACTCATCTGGTATTTTCTTTTCTCAAACAATATATAAGGTGCGTATCAAGGCTTAAAGAAGAAAATTTATGTCACTTAGCCTTCGAAATCATTCAACTTACATACGTCAGCTAGCCGTCTTCATCGCAGCATCTGCTTATCAGTCATTTCTCTACTACGTAATCAGCATACATCCGTGCCCTCCAGGCATTCCTGCCCTGAGCTGTTAGGCACTTACAACAGTTCTATTACAACAGACGGGCCAAGGAAGCTAGGACAATCAGTCGGATATTTAAAATGGCGGATGTGGAGATGAAAGAAGCTTCTGCTGGTACTTCAGCCAAGGGAAAGGGAGCATCTAAGGCTTCCGAAGGTGCAAGTGATGGCAAAAAGAAGTTCGAAGTCAAGAAATGGAATGCGGTGGCCCTATGGGCGTGGGATATCGTTGTCGATAATTGTGCCATTTGCCGTAATCATATCATGGACTTGTGTATGACCCTGCTCTTCGCTACAGCAGAAGTTAAAAACTAAACTAAGTGTTTTTAGGTATCGAGTGTCAAGCAAACCAAGGCTCATCTACGACTGAAGAGTGTACAGTTGCCTGGGGGATTTGCAACGTGCGTCCAGATATCCCAAGCTTCTTGACAAACTTAATATTGACCTAACTGTGTTCTTTTCTAGCACGCGTTTCATTTCCACTGCATATCCCGTTGGCTGAAAACTCGCCAGGTCTGTCCCTTGGATAACCGAGACTGGGAATTTCAGAAGTATGGTCGGTAAACGCAGTTCTATAGAGGATCTTCTGATTGCTGAAGCTGCCACCTACGTGGTGCCATAAATTTTTATACGCAACAAATGGTCTGGATTGGCGTTCGGGTTTGTTTTTCACACCTTTCCGGTGATTACTATGATGATAAATGCGGCTTCTTGGTTGTGTAGAGATAAATAGTCCGGCTCAATACCTTCCGAGTCGATCTCTCCTGTATCTTGCTTGTACTTCATGCCACTTTAGTTCCATCTACCATGATCCGTGCGCCACCGACAATCCCCGCTGACGAAACAAGCCATTTCTCAGGGTTCATATTGTACATAGGCCAAGGAGGGATGACAACCAGTCCAGTTACCAGTGTACCTGCCAAGCCGACCCAGAGTGTGAGATGTATGTCCCGGTAGATATATCCAGCGAAGAAAGCAACAACCTTGACACGACGAGCGTAAGCGAATGATACCAATTATCAATGCAAACTATATTTGGCGAAAGAATGATCAGAAATTGACTAGCACTGTACCGCAGATATAATTAATAGAGCCGTAGACAATATTTCAGCTATGCGCTGGCCGTGAAAGTCCTATCCATGTAACGTTGCCTGGTTATCATCTATTACGAATGGATTGGTGGTAGTGACAAACATACTATCTGGCCTTCGAAGATGTCCTGAACAGATGCAAGAACATCATCCATGGCGAAAGAGTGTCTGGGAATTGTTTTGGATGTCTTGCTTTCTTTCTTTCTTTCTTTCTTTCTTTTGTCCCCTGGAGAAAAGGATACAGGTAAAAATAGAAAAGGGCAAACACCAAGACAAATAATAACTATGGATGTTGAAGATGACCGTTGGAATCCCTTGGTAAAGAGCTGCTACTGAGTAGGCGGAGATTAACCAATTCGGCCTTTACCGCCTTGGCCAAGGTGTCAAACTGGCATCACCAATTTGGTGCGTTTCAATGACGCGGGCAGTATGTTTTAGTGAGAGGAACCAGCAAACGAAGGCGAAAACCACTAAAAGTAAAGGGTAAGGCTGTAATAAAAAAAAAAAAAAAAAAAAAAAAAAAAAAAAAAAAAAAAAAAAAAAAAAAAAAAAAAAAAAAAAAAAAAAAAAAAAAAAAAAAAAAAATTCAAGGCAAAAAAAATGGCGTAGCCTAAACTTCACTTTATACTTCTCTAAGAGCCCTACCTATAAGTAAATTTTGTTTAAGAAATAAGAAAATATGTATGCTGATTTCGCCCACCCCTTACCAACACGGCAAAGGAAAGAACCACTCTGAAGATATCCCACTTTATAACGTAGCCATGGTTAAAGTAACGGATTATTTATTCATCACCGCTATTTATCCCTATGTAGGTAGCATATATGATGGAAGGTAGGCAATGATGTTAATAATGGACTGTAGCCCCATCCTGGGCAGGTTCAAGGAGCTTCCATTGGCAGGTTATATTATTGGAAGCGAAGTTAGCAATGATGCGTTCTGCGATCTCAGTGAACCTATCAGTAGCCAAAGCTAAGATTGTTGGCCCTGCTCCCGATAGGCATATCCCAAGCAGACCTGGTTGCGTGCTCGGGTTCATGGATTTGAGTATTTCTGTTAGACCTGGGATAAGGGTCTTCCGATACGGCTGATGAACCTTGTCTTGCATGGCTAGATAGATCATGTCTGGATCGGGAGGAGACGTGCCCAATGCTGCAGGGAGTAAGGCAGCGCGCTGCAAGTTGAAGACCTATGGGGGATACGTTAGTTCTTAGGAGCTTATCTATCGTCCGACCAAATGGGAAGAAAGAGCTTACAACATCGGCTCTTGAATAGGCAGTGGGTAGGACACCTCGTGCGTTGGCGGTTGGCACCACAAAATCTGGGATGATTGCAATGGCCTTGATCTCCTTGGCCCACGGAAACTTCCTATAGTGGCCGATACCAAGTGGAGGCTCCGGAGGCCGTATGCCAGTATCGATACCCCCGGCCGGGGCGGGTAAAACTTCACTCAGTGGAATCTCTATGCGGGCTATATCCTCAGGCTTGAGTTCGTTCAAGTAAGTTCCGACGAAGCCTCCAAAGAGAGAAGCAGCGACATTGTCCGGGTGCCGCTCTGTTGAGGAGTAATTCAATCAGTCGAGGAGTTAACGGCAATAAGACGATCCATTTTTCGTATGGAGGAGTCGGCTTGCAAGACAGTCACAAGGGACCATCTACTCAGCTAAAGGCCAAACTTACCGATCATCAAGCAATAATCTAGTAGCCGTTCCTTGCTCAATCCAAGGCGGCCTACTTCGTTGCCCAACATCACACCGGCCACCACTGCGGTACCAGACGAACCGAGACCCCGACCCAGAGGAATAGGATTTACAATATGGACATGGGTCTCCGCGGGAAACGCTCTCTGATCATGGCATCGAAGTACATACAGAGCTACACGGGTGATCAAGTTCACCTCTGGATCCAGGCTGATCTCTTCCGTGCTGTTGCTTTGATCATCATATGTGACGATACAATTCAGAGGATGTTGTGAGGCTTTCGCGGAATCAATAGTGACATGGAGTTCAAGGTGGAGCGACAATGCCAGGCCGATCACATCAAACCCAGGACCAATATTGGCAGATGAACAGGGCGTTTTGATAACAAATGAGGAAGAAGCCATGGTAGGAGAAAGATAGGTGTGAAGGATCTCTCTCTCTCTCTCTCTCTGTGTGTGTGTTTGTGTGTGTGTGTGTGTGTGTGTGTGTGTCTTACTCTCCCACTCACTTATTTCTGTTCTGTGCTGTTCTTTTCTTTCTCTTTTTCCTTTCCTCCACTTGGCTGGACGAAGGGTTTTTGCACACTCAATTCAATCAACCGTAAAAGATTTATTTAACAAAATGAAGAGATGGGCTAATATGTCATATCAACCCGATTCGAAGCACTGTTCTTTTCTGAGTATTTAGATGGGTATGTAATTGGAATGATATCTGCCACTGGTGGGGAGTATGACTCTTTCAGTCGCTTTCTTGGCATTGCTCAAGGAAAAAAAATATTTATTCGCCGATTTCGGGACAATAGAAGGAGGGGCCTCCGTAAGGCTCGGAGCTGTCGATTAGTACACCCGTTGGGCATAGAGCTAAGCTATACAACTATACCCCTTCGGACTAGATCTAGATTATATATCCTGACCAACACAGTAGATTCCAATCAGAGCTGACCGATATTCAATACTCAACGATCTATCCCATGAGCTGCATGTCATGCAGGACAGCGGTACACCAATCGAATGATATCTACACTCATTTCAAACCCTAAACAAATAATCTTCAAGACGCACACGCTGGAAATGCTCATTTCAATATCGAAACTTCAGCACAGGGTATGGGTGCTGCCTAAAGATGGAGCTGGTATTAATCAAAATCCCTTGTACACAATACAATATATTACAATAATCGACGATATAAGTCCCATTAGATAACAGTCTCTGAATTTTCCAATTACATTTGATACTAGTTGACGACACTATCTTCACTGAAGAGTACGAAATGATAGTTACCTTGGATTGGACCATCACTTCAAACTTAGTACATCGTAGATAATCCAGGCGGAAGGTGGCCGATGCGGCCTAGTCAGAGACGGTAGTACATCTTCGTAGTCCGGTGGCTCTGGACTTTTACCCCCAAGCGGAAATTTCTACCCGCGCCCCTCTTCTTTTTCGGTTTTTTTTCTTTTTCTTTTTCTTTTTTTTTTTTCTCTCCCTCTCTTTACGCTTCAGTTTTCTTTTTAAAGACGGCAAGTTCCCTTTCCGCTGTCGTCTCTGAGACAACTCATCTCGACTCACCTCTGTAGGTGACCAACTACTGGTTTTCATCCTCTTTCCCCCTTTCACCTCTCTTTTCTTGTTTCTTCTCCATTGTCCGCGTGATCTGTCATCCATCGCCTGACACATTGTTGTTGGGCCTCCCGTCGGTATCCGTGTATATCTTTTTGTGGGAACAACATATCATTTGCGACATCAGAGTTTGGTCTCCATCTTAGAGTTGGTGAGGATCCCCGCCACTCATCTCTGAACACATCAGCCCATCTGCACCAAATTCCAGAACATCGGATCTTAAAACATTCCTGGTTCCCTACATTTGGATCTCTTTCTTTGGAACCCTTGTGTGTTTTTATCTTATTATTTTTTTTTCTCATTGTTGGTGTATAGACTCCTCCTTCAAGACCTGCAATCATCCTGGAGTCTCTGGTGTTGTCGAATTCATTGATAGGAAGTCTTGCGGTGAATTGAAGGACTCTTGCTAAGAGTATACCCCGTCAACTCACCACTTCCCTGCAACTCTGGAGCGGCAGCGCTCCTCTTCGCACCACTCAGTCAAGTTGGCGGGCATTCACTACCATCAGTCCTCTTTCCTCCACCCTCTTCTGGGCCCCAAGTTCAGGGTCTTCTGCGGGGGCGACACCAGACCCCCATAACCGGTCTCTTCCAGCGAGTTTGAAGCTGGCACACGGACGCGCGTCGGTAATGCCAGGCCCTTGCGAGGGGTCTGGCTGATGGATGGAGGAGCAATCGCCCCTGGGACTTGTACATCTGCCTGCGCCTTATTGGAAGGCATTGATAATAGTTGAGGCATTTAGCGCGAAAACGCCTTTGTTGTCTCCGCAGATTGCCTCGCTTTGAATTGGTAAGCCTGGTGTATATTCTGGTTGACGGCCAGCGTCACAAGAAATGTCCGAATCACCCAAGTCGGAAAAGTATATGTTTTTAAGCAGGTTTAGTACGCCAGTGCGTGAACTGGATGACCATCGGTTTCAATTGGATCCACCCCGTATCGAAGCTACCCCCGATATGACGCTTAGTCGGCAGAATACTACACCGCAGAATTTGAATATGGAGACGCCACAGCGTTCAGATCTGCTCCAAGTCCAGGATGTTCTTCGAGAAGCGGGGCCATTTTCCCGGGACTTTGAGCAAGCAATAGCGGACGATGATCAGGACGTCAATGGTCTGGGACGACGCTTCTCCCTTGATCCAACCGGCAATATCCGCCAGGCTCGCACATTCAGCCGTACGCATCAGGATATTGCAAACATATCGAGGGATTCGTCAATTTCTGCTCGATCAACTTCTCCGCCCAATTCGGTCGAAGCCTTTGCAGACCCACGGCGCCGGGAGCGTGCCAACACTCTGGAGAGCCATGCAGCGCCAGACTTGGAAGCTATCCTACAGCGTACGGTCTCTGGCGGCACACATCCTCGCCGCCCAACTTTCAGTAATGCAAGTGCCATTAGACCTCAACCCGGCGATATCCAATTAGATTCGCCCGAGGATCCATGCATCCCCCCATTTGAACAACTGGGCAGAATTCCGGTGATTGACTATGAAGAATTGGAAGAGTTTGTGGCTCTTAATCAGAAGACAAAGCCCGTTACAATGCGGCGCAAGCACAGCCTTAGCTCTCAGAGCAAGAAGTCTCGTGTTTTCTATGATCTTCGCCCAAATGCTCAGAATTCCGAACTCCATGATGCGAAGCGCTCATCGGATGACTTTACCAGACTTGAATTAAAAGACAGCGAGAAAGTCTTCGCGGATACTGTCAACGAAAAAGAAATAGTCGAGAATCTCAAGAATGAGAATGAGCCGACCCGGTTCGGCTTCTTCTCGTCCGAGTCACAGAGTACCGTACATGCTGCAGAACTGGGCGACTTGGTCCTCCCTGGGGACACCTTTCGAGACCTCTTCCAACTTGGCCCGGAAGGAGGTGTTTGGTGGCTCGATGTTTTGAATCCCACTGAAGCCGAAGTTGGTGCTCTTTCGAGAGCCTTTTCAATTCACCCACTGACGACAGAAGATATATTAACCCAGGAGGCTCGAGAGAAAGTTGAGCTATTCAAGCAATACTATTTTGTGTGCTTCCGGACGTTTTATCAGATGGATAAGACAAGCGAGCGCTTCATGGAGCCCGTTAACTTCTACATGATTGTCTTCCGCGATGGTGTGTTATCGTTCTCTTTCACCGAGAATCCCCATGCTTCGAATGTCCGGAGAAGAATCGGAAAGCTCCGTGACTATGTGTCACTTAGTAGTGACTGGATTTGCTATGCCATGATGTAAGCACACCCTTGATCTGCCTTTCCTTCCTATTAAGCCCATGCATATTACCTTATGGCCATCTAGCTACCTGTATGTGAAATCCTAATGTATGGCGCAGTGACGATATTGTGGATAGTTTTGGCCCTGTAATCCGCGAAATTGAGGTCGAGTCCGAGGCGATTGAAGATCTCGTCTTCATCGCACGCATGGATGATTTCGAGTCATTCTTGCCACGAATTGGTGGCTTGCGCAAAAAGGTCATGAGCTTGATGCGTCTTTTGGGTGGCAAGGCGGATGTTATTCGAGGTTTCTCTAAACGCTGCAACGAGCAGTATTCAGTGACGCCGCGTGGTGACATTGGCCTTTACCTAGGCGATATCCAGGATCACGTAGTGACCATGATGTCTAACTTGGCCCATTTCGAGAAGATGCTCAGCAGGTCACACACCAACTATCTTGCGCAGCTGAACGTGACAAACCTGGTGTTGGGAAACCACGTCAACAAGATCCTCAGCAAGGTGACCCTCATTGCCACTATGTTAGTTCCCATGAACCTTATTTGTGGTCTTTTCGGCATGAACGTCACGGTCCCTGGTCAGGGCCAGGAAGGCCTTGCGTGGTTCTTTGGCATCGTCGGTGTTATCGCGGCGGTAGTCATTATCAGCGGCATTGCTGCTCGCTGCTATAAACTTGTATAAGGTTAAAGTTTGGCTTTGCCTATTCAGAAACCTATGGGCTGTCAAAAAGAGTATTCGCACGCGTATATAGACTTCTGAATTCATTACATACCCATGACAAATTCTTGGGAAATATTATAAAAATGTCCGTAGCTTTTCGGGAACCCCGAAGGTGGCTGCTGTGGCTGGTTGGCTGATGTGGCGCAGGCCAGCTACTCGGAGGCCGCAGGCAGAAGAAGGCCTCCATACATACTGAAAGCCAGAATGAGTCCAACGCTGTCAAGCGCAAGTACTCTGTAGATAAAGTCTAGCTTCCGAATGAGCTTGGATTTGTTCGTGGATGACATTTTCCCCTGCCACCTTGCCTAATTTTCGCTTACGACTCGGCAAACCTCGGGTGTGAGAGGAAGTCGTCGTCTCGTCGTTATTAAGCCTTCCTTGACTCTTTCTCTTCGTCCTTTTATATTACCCGACCCGGAGCCGAATATCTACTGAACTGTCCATGCGACCTAAGCCCGCACCTTGGTTGTGCTGTTTTGCTCCACGCATCAGCGCAATTATTTATTACTACATAGTCTCTCTGGCTCTTTGGACCACAGATTTAGGCTATGCCGCAGATCTCACTTCTCTGGCCCCTGAAATCCATAGTAACTTGACCATCAACGACGGTGACTCATATTTCCCATTCCCATTGGGGCCTTACAATGGTCTAGTGATTGAAGACGATGTGAACGACGCTGGAGATCTACGAGGTCTAGATATTGTCCGCAGGGCCCCTACTGGGGTCTCATCCCTAGGCAATAATCAATACCAAAAGGGCGAAGTTAAATTAGGTGAAACCCAGTGGTGGTACTTCTCAAAAAATTCTTTAAATGGCAAAAATACCAATAAGATATCCGAAGAACCAACTAGCGACAACTCGAAGCATTTGGAAACGGTCTTCATATCTCTAACGGCATGTTCGAAGCCTAGCTCCAATAAAGCCGATTCTGACAGTGCTCGGAACCTGCCGCATCTAGAGGTCTACGTCTCTACATCTGAATCGCTCCAAAAGCCTGGTCCTGGGCAAGAGAGGTCGAATCAAACTAAATACTTGGTCGAAGAGGGTTATATGGGCACCACCGTGGAAGCAGAAGGGGATGTTTATATCGGTGTTGTTGCACATAACAGCACTGAACATTCTGGGTCCTACAGCTATGAGCTTGCGGCATCAGTTGATGCTTTTTTCCACAGCCTCGCGGATGATCCGGCTTTCCTATACTTCGTGGATTCGGATATGCACAGTGCTCTCTTCACCACGGGCAATCTAACGGAGGCAGAACAGGACTCTCAGAGCTACAGCAACTGGATGGGCATGGCACCGTCGTACACAATGTTTGCGAATAACATTAACGATACAGCCATCTCAGGCTTACACCATTCCTCCTGTGCGCTCGATCGATTCGCTCAAATAGGCAAAGGTGATCGTAACATCAACGCAAGCATGACGAGCAGAGGCCCCGGCAATAAACCCAAGGAGCAGTTATATGTCACCGGGCTCAACCAAAGTTCGACATATGAAGGGATTTTAGCCCTGGATGGCAATTCTACTGGTTCTAGAAACGGTGTTATTGGCGGCGGTGGGAAAATATGGAAACCAATCACCTTCTCAACCAAAGCAGGTAATTAATCTCCTTTCGGCATATTCGGGTGTGTTCCGGTTAAGGTTACTGACAGAGAAAGATGGCAATTGTGCACTCCTCTACAACCTGTCATTTTGCAATGAAGTGGCATATGCGGTGCCTTCGAACCCGACGTTTACCTTGGACAGCCTCCGTTCAATCTACGATGATAATGCCGCTGCACTGTATAAGAACTTTTCTTACTCTTTGGAGCAGATCCAATGTAATGCTACAAATGAGACTCGATTTTCTTTGGCAGTGGGATGCGATGACTGTGCCCGAGCATACAAACAGTGGCTATGCGCCGTAACCATCCCTCGGTGCGAAGACTTTTCAAGCACTGGCACATTTCTCCAGGCCAGAAACGCTGGACAGAAATTCATCAACGGAACCTCGCTCAGTGATGACCACACACTGCGGTTGGATCCCTCGACGAATCGGTCCCGAAATTTGCTGATCGACAAAGAGATCCGGCCAGGACCGTACAAGGAGATTCTTCCCTGCGAGGACACCTGCTACGATCTCGTCAAGAGTTGTCCCGCTGCTCTGGACTTTCGCTGCCCGCAGGACAGATGGCTCTCTTCTACGTACGGCAAACGCGGTACCGACGATCTTGTCACCTGCAGTTGGGTAGGCGCAGCGTACTTCATGGGTGGCGGAGTTAAGATGATTCCTTTGCGGTCGGTTTTATTTGCACTTCCAACTGTTTGGCTTTTGTACTGGGCATTTGACGGGTAGCGAACTAGTGCTATGTATGTATAGTGTGGGTCATCATCAACCTTTCTCAATCGGAACTTCGTCATTTTGGTCAATTCTGTTGAGTCACTTGTTAGTGTCACGCCATATGTTCGTGTAACCAGATCCCTTGGCCAATATAATTCTTTCTGTTTACAGCTGTTTTCCTTCGGCGTGTCACACTGTCTATATTTAACTAGACATGGTATCTTCAGGCCAGGAAAGACAGCAGATAACTCGGACGATAACTTAGAAGCGTTTATAGATTGGCTACGACGAAAACAGCATTTTAGGGTAAGGGTACCTAAACATCATTAAGTAGAATATCATCTCACGACTTAAGCAGTATAGGAGCAGGAAACAACGCCGGGCCCACCATGGTATCTATTGAAGCGCCATTAATCAAAGATCATATGTAAGGGAATTCGTATCTATTTGGCTCTCCGTGGAGTCGGAGTCCACACATTCTTCAGATTCGATGAGGATGACTCTGTCGGCCGAGGAGTGTTCCCCATACGATGTAATAGTTTTTGTGCCGCTGGAGTCAACAACTTGCTTGGCCCACTCCCTCCCACTATTGCTCTGCCAGGCATGCGTAATCCAAAGTCTAGCCGGAGGCTACTGGCGAACCGCGGCGTCATGGCAACCGGGGATTTAGTCTCTTGCGCAACTTTCTCCGCTCTTTTCTTTCTCGCAACGCGGTCTACTACACGATGGTGGAGATCCTCGCGCCTTCTGTTCTCCCTGATTTTAAACGGATTCGGGGTTTTATCACTTGTCCCCAACAACCGAAGGTCCTCTAAAAAGCCCGCATGGCTGTCTTTCGACACGTTATTTGTTGGGTAATCTGGTTCATCTTCATCCACGAAGGCGTATCCATTCACTCGTGGCGTCTCACTCCCACTATAGCCCGCTTCTGAATCACTGGGGCGGGGGCGTCCGGCAATAGCGTCTTTAATAGCAGAAATTGATGGAGAGGGAGGAAGCGCGCCTCCATCTTGTGTAGATTTCAATCCCTCATCTGGTAATCGGGTATTCTGATACACCACTCGCTTGGGCCCCGCTCGTGAGGATGCTTCTGCTTTTTGCTGGAGTGTCTCAAGAGTGTCTTCAACAGACGAGGGCGTGAACATGAGAGAATTCTCCGATCTGGCCTTCCATGAGTCCGGTTTCGCGGGCCGAGAATCAAAGTCCTTCTTAGTGGCTAATTGCTTGTCTTGATAAGGGTTGAGACCCTGTTCCTCGACCCGTTTTGCTTCCCTTTGATGATGGGCAATCTGTCGCGCGGACGGGATCTTGTTGCCGCTCCAAATCCATGCATATTTTTCACGACGTTTCGTATTCTGCTTATCTAGCAGCTTGTTGAAGGATTCGTTATCTTCACTGGTATATTTCGCCTGGAACTCAAGCAGCCCGAGATTGGACAGATTGGAAGAATGGTTATCTTTTAAATGCTGGGCCGGTGATGAAGAGGCCATGGACATGACTGACATTGGCGTATCCCCACCCCAACCCGTAGGAGTATCCCCTACATGCCTTATTTCTGTACGGTTGGTTGTTATTACGGGATCCGACGGTTCAGAACGGTTCCGAGCTCTTTCTGGAGTCAACATCAGGTCGGTAAGTCTTCTCTTGGACGTGGCAATCCATTCTTCGTCCCTCGAGTCGAGTGCTTCGAGGTACTCTTGCTTCACTTGCATCTCCAGAAGCCCCGGGAAGTAATCTCGCGCAATGATGCCAGATAAGGTATTCGTATAGACGTCTTCATCGAGGACAGTAGTAGGTCGTTTGATGCGTTTCGGGGGGGGAGGGGGCATTAGACTGGTTTCGATATGGCGCTTAGCCAAAGCTTGCGACGAGGAAGACATTACGGCGAGGGTAAACGAGAGCCCAGAAAGAGCAACCCAAAGGAATATGATTTCGGTCAGCTGAAGAAACCTGTTAAGAGCACGATACTAGATGGGTGGATGGATGTGTACATGAACAATATAGAACAGAGAAAGAGCGGCAGAAATGAGGGAGAGGCGGTGAGCATTGATAAGCAAGTGACGACATTTTATGAATCAGCACTCTGGTCTCTAGGTAATCCTCAGGGTTCCTTTATCTGGCCAAGTAAATTTTTGGATATGACATATAGTATCCTATTGAACCAGGTACACGAATTTCTTCTTGAATATACAATATTTAGTCGATGACGCTTTCGCTTTTTCACTGTCCACCAAAATCCGGCCAGAAAACCCGCAGAGCAGCCCAGTAAACCATCCTCCTCTATATGTATACTTCTTATAACGAGACCAATCCGTATTTACCAAAAGATGAACTTTCCAAGCAACAAGGAAATGCAGAGAAAGCACAATGCCTGCAAATACCCAAATACAAAGTAAAGAACTTGCGAGCGAGTGCTATGCAACCAAAACCCATTCGCAGCCTTTTCCCAATTCTTCATACCAGAAAAACACCTTCCAGAGATTTTTGTTCCTGTGGAAAAAGTAGCCGCTCAGAATGCAAAACGAAAATCTTGAATAAATCGCAGATGAGAAAAGAATGAGTATAGAATGGCTAACAATTGCAGAAGGACATATTGAAAGGAATAACGACGAAGAAGGAAAAATTGCAGAAAGAACAAGTGAAAAGTCATCACGTCGTTGAAGAAGTCTATCGGTGATTTGTATGGAAGTGTGACGGAGAGCAAGGTGAAAGAAAAGAATATCATGTCCAGGTTACACTTCGGGACTAGGTAATGGTGCAACTACAGCACGTTAGCTGAAGTTGCGGAAGATGGAAAGAGCGAGTACGATGCTCTACCCTTTCGCCGATGCGTTCCTCTGATAGGGACTTCAGCCTTGGTCGCCTCTACTTCAGATATGGATCTTGCCCGATCATGAATAGCAGGGCCCGGATTTGGTATGATCCCAGCAGATTCAAGAATCATACTGCCATCAGCTCGAAAAGCAACCTGAGTCTCAATCTCTCTTGCTAGGCTTTTCGTTTGACGATGGTAAGAAGACGACTCTGGTTGTCCAGGCCCGGAGGGCAGAGAGTGATCACTTGAGGCGGTTTGGTCCGTCGTGGACAACTCCCGGCTATTTGCCAAGCTGTGCACAAGCTCTGGAACACTAGTGGTCGAGACGGAAGAGCGATGCTTGCGGACGATTGATGCCGCACGGGATAAGATTAGGCTCTCTTCAGAGTTGCATTTGCTGATCGGAGAGAAACTACTCCGGGGAGAGACAGGCTGTTCCATGGGTTGGATCACTCCCTGTGAGCAGAAGGAGAAGTGCCGATCTGATTCAGCATCACCTGCCAGGTACTCCTCATATAAGACATCATGGGTCAAGTGCTTTCCCAGGGTCGATGGAAACATTGAAGAGCTGACTGGTTGGTAATAATCGTTATTCCGCCGAGAGCCGCCTTCCTCAATTTCGTAACTTGTGGTGGACGGGGTTAAGGAAACCTGCGCGCTAGGAAACAAACGAGGCGGACTGGGCTCCAGATCCAATCCAGGAACTGTGGACGTACTCAAATGTGCAGCAGGGAGCAGGTGAATTTTGTTGGCCCCATTCACCGGATCGACCTGGGAACCCGCGATGGAAACGTCAACTGCGTCCTGTTGTGGTTCATCAAACGAATTACGAGCCCAGTCGAAGTTACAATTCGACTCTGCTGCATGCTCGTAGCAGTAGTCAATATCGGCATCCCAAGATTCATAGATGGTTTCATATGTTGCTCTTCGACGGATGGATGCTGTTCTCCTTACCGTTCCACCTAGTTTTTGGTCGTGTGGCGATGCCTCGGGCTGACGATATTGAGGGAGCGTAGGAGAGCCAAGAGCCTCAGAAACCTTCTTCGATAATTCTTCGCTCACGTATACAGTTAGATTAGACTTAGGCCTGACTCCAGAGGTGCTCTGCAGTTCAGTTGGAGGTGAGTTTAGCCGAGACTGGGCGCACGCCTTGGTTTTCTCTATACCAAACGCCCAAGTTTCCCTTGAATTGGTAGCCTCCTCTTCTTCTGGAAGGACATCAAGATCTGAGGATATGTTGGTGAATGACATGGACGAAGTTCTGAAATCAATCGTGTCTTTTTGAGCGTCGGGAACGATGGCCTGCCCAATGCTCGGTGGGAAGATGCTTTCAACATTCATATGGAGTAAGCGGCCTTCTTGGGCTTCGTCATCGCCGTTTGAGTAGACATGTTCCGGGTATGTTGATGGGGACGACAGACCCAATATCTCATCAATGGCACGAGGAGCTGGTTCAGATATTTCTGGAGATGCCGCCAACCCGGGCGGCGTAATTGCACCGGCTCTGGGATACGGCCGAGAAAAGTTCTCACAGACTCGTGACTCCCTTCTTAGCCTATCATCTTGCTGCTTGGGGCTCGTTGCTGATGACGATGTTCCTGGCGACCCAGGAGGGCTAATCGGAGTGGGAACATCTTGGTCCCTTGCAATACCTGTCACACAATTGGCGAGGTTCTCAGACGAGAAGTCACGGAAATGAAGATCTTCCGCGCGGATACCCTTAAGTCCTGTGATAGGTCTCTGAGAGGCACGGATGGCGGAGAATTCAGTGACTAGGTCATTTTCCCGGGCCCTGTCCATTGCCTGGAAATGCGATGGACTCGTATGAGTTAGGTGGTGAAAGTCAAAGGGATCCGAGATAAGGTTTTTCAATTGTTCATCTGCAACATATTAGTTATGAGCACCAGCTTGTGCCATTCGTGTAAAGGTGCGCTTACGAGCATCGCTCTGCCGCGACCTGTGGTGACGGCTGAAGAGGTCTGAGACCTCAAACCGGGATTTCTCACGCTCCATTTCATCCTCTTCATCCAGCGTGGCAACGATGTTGAATTTACTTCCCTGTCGACGGAGGATACGACTCCCACGCGAGAAAAGCGATTTGGTCATACTCTCCTGTCGCTCCGAGCGGACACCGGCCGAACTAGTCCGTTCATCTTGAGATGAGGGCAGGGAAGCAGCATCCATAGATGTCATGGAGGAGGCGGGGGAGCGGCGTGATGATGTGGTGGAAGTAGTTGTATTACTCCTGGAACGACCACTGAAGACCGACAGACGTTTTGGACTCTGGGTGTGGGCAGTTGATCGAGAGCGGATATGAACTGAATGATCAGGAACGTCATTGTTGGACACTCTGGTATTGGGTTGCTCTGAATCCGCCATGGTCCGGGGGGCAGAGTTGGAGGCATGCATAGTAGACTGTTACCGCAGTCCAATTGGCGAGGTCGATGGGGGTGTATATACAAGTCGATAGTCAAGCATGTAACTGCAATATGGCGGTCCTGGCTAGGACCATGGTAGAGGATGATGAGAGCGAATTGAACGATGAAATAGGTTAAGCTGGCTAAGGATCAGGAGCAAGAGGACATGACACCTCCAGGTGAAAGAGTTTCTGAAGTGTTTTAGATTTAGATTTAGATTTTAGGGGCAAGGCCACTCGGCGAGGCAAGACTGAATCATAAATTTGGGGGTAGGAAAATATGAAACGAAGCAACAATTGTCACAACAGAAGAGAAGACGCATGAGATAATAGGGAAGTGACTCTAGCGAGTAAAAGGATCGTGATCGTGAATACAGAGGGGAATAAAGGTACCTAGGAGAGAAGCTGAGTGAGGGACAGGAAAGGAAAGATGGTGGAGGTTAGAATCAATAGATAAAGAACAAAGCGGATCGATAAATGGTTAGTCAATGGATGTTCTGGGGGAGGAGAATGACAAGGACAAGAATAAGAGGAATTAAGGGAGGGAACTAACAATTATTAGTATAGTTCGACGGTTAGAAAGGATGGAGAAAAGTTATCCAAAACAAAAAGAAAAAAAAAATAAATAAATTTGGGACGGATGTTACTTTTGGTTTTCCCTTTTTTTTTCTCTGTATTTATTTTATGCTGGTGCTGCTCATACATTTTGGTGTAATTTTATTTTTACTTTAGCGCAGAGTCCACGTTCTGACAGTTCCAAAAGGCACAGACTAGTTAATTTTTCCCTTTTTTTTTGCCCCTTACAAAGCGGACAAGTTAATTCTGAAATGACACATAACGTTTTAAATATGCGAAAAAGCAAAGGAAAACAAAAGAAGGAAAATAGAAGGGGAATAGAACAGAAAGTAGAAAAGAAGTTACGGTACGATTACGCACCGAACTTTGGGGTACTAACAAAAAGTGTATTTTATATCTACGGACTTCTTTACCAAGGATCCCAGTAGTTGTTCTTCAATTTATGGACATCCCACGATAGAGGAAGAGAAAACCCCTAAAAAAGAAAATGAAGAAAAGCAAAAGGGACAAGGGAAAACACCGAGCTGCATGTCGTGGAGACGATCAAATCAGGAGACTCGGTTTTTTCCTAGTTTATTGAGACTATGGAGAAGGAGTTGTTCGCACGGACATCCAGGAACCCAGACGCGCAGGACGCAGGTACTCACAACCGCGAACTCAGGCCATAAAACCACAAACCTATGGATCTAATTGTCCCGTGTTGCTGATCGATCGGAATTGGTGTTTACGGACTCGGGACCTGGGAGTCAATTCCTCCCCCCAAGGATTTTGACCGGATTGAAAACTAGCGCTAGCCAGACAAACTGACAGGGAATACTACTTTTAGCCTCGGTAGCTACTGTGTATTACGTTGCCTTGTCTAGGATTACCCTGAAAGGATTGCAGATGGAGGTCTAGTCTAGTATATTCTATCAGCTCCTAGTAGACAGGGGATCGTGAAACTGGAAATGGAAAGAATCATGTTAGTTAGCCACGAGCGATCCCATACGGGGCTCCCCGTTGGGTAAGTATCGACGGTAGATAAATGGGGCTTGATAGATTAAACATAGGCAACTAGTGACCATAGATAGAGACGATAGAAAAAGTAATGGATCCTACCTTCCACTTCGGACGGAGTACCACATGGAGATCATAAAGGATGGGCACAATGGCCCATCTAGCATCTACATGGAATCATGGATAGTTATGGGTTAAGAAAGCATATTTAATAACCAAATAGAACAACCTGCGGAGTATGCCGGCTTCCTCCCCAACATGCTCTAAACTTTCAACTTACTACTGGCTGCGTATATGAAGTAAGTGCTTGTATGAATAACAATCTAAACACCTGTCATACAGTATATTACTGCATAAACCACTTGCCAGGCACTCGTCTAATTGAGAAGTTCCGAGGAAAGGAAGAAGTACCCAGCAATACGACTGTCAGGCACCAGATCATCATTCGCTTACAGACGCGGACCCATTCCAACGTCTCTCCACTGGGTTTCCTACTACGTAGTTAGGACGCTAGACAATGACATTAATGGGTCAACTTCCCTGCCCGGTTGAACTCTATACTTGTCCGAGCGGATCCAAATGCGTTAGCAAATTAGCAGTACCGGTAAGAGTTAGTATTGTTGTTGTTGTATCTAATGCAAGTCGTGCAGGGAACTGAATTATTATTATTATTGTTATTATTTATAAATTATTGTTTGTATTATTATTATTATATTTTTTTTGTGAAAAAAAAAAAAAAAAATCAAGTCTCTCTTCCAAAATTGCATACTTATTTCCCTGTTGTGTTGTTGCATATTTCAGATATTTCTGTACTGTATCAGTACATGGAAGGATTCAAAAAAAAAAAAAAAAAAAAAAAAAAAAAAAAAAAAAACTGGTGGACTCTACGGCCCTTTTCCGTGGTCAGGTTTATTGCGATGGCTAGCGCCAGTGGTGTCATATCCAGAAGGGTGGTAAACACGGCTGTTGTAGCACCAAGGAAGTGCCTAGCAATACTACCCTAGATAGCCGTACAGGATGCGTCTACCCTAAATTACACGAGGTTAGCCTGCCCCGGGGTAGTCGGTCAATAATATGCAGATGCGATGAACCAAAATGTTGGTTGGGTCGGGGGAGGGAATGAGACGGAACTGCTTTAGGGCTTGAGCCTCGAGGATTTGATCCCACAGCATCAATTATTCCGTATGAGCAAGCATGGCTCGGGTCAAAAATGGCATGTGCTCTCACATTTAATATTGATCTATATGGATAGAAATCATATATACAGAGAACATACAAGAGTAATAATTCATTTCATCCATGATAGAGAGTATGGTATCTAATACCCTCCGGATTCCTGTGTGGTATTTCTCTTATTCACATTTGTATTTGGTATGGAGTATGTATTTACCTACATTGATACCTTGTAGGATTGCCTGCTATCTTGTCTAAGTGGATGTATGTACAGTGTACACTATACCCCCCAACGTAATATCTGCTTGTTGATCACACCGCCAGACAGTGTTCATGTATACCTGCATGCATTAGCTGTGCAGGATGGCACGTTCTCTCAGCTTTTCTTTCTATCTACGGAGTATAACTAATGATATTTGCTATTCCTTTTGCTGAACCAACTACTGTCATTGGCCATTGTTTTTTTTCCCCCGGTTCACAGCTCCAGCTAGGTAATTGTAAGATCTTTCTTTCTACTCTTTGTACGGAGTATTTCTCCCTCACACTCCGTACTGCTTCTAAGTCAATATCAACTACTACGTACTCCTTTCTGTGTGCTCCGTATCCATCGATATCCGATCTGAAAAAAGAAGCAAGTGCCACGCTACTGTCTCAGACACGAACCTTCGAGGCAACCCGTCTCTTCCCAGCCTTAATTATTATTATTATTTCTCCCCCCCCCCCCCTATTTAGCCTCTTTAGCGTGTCTCACATGTTCCCCATCGTTCGGCCTCCTGACGATCGCTGTGTCTAGACTTCGCCCTAATAGTGTTGACGAGGCAATTTTTTAATTACAAGCCTAGGTACTCTAAAGGACTGGAAGCAATGTCCCTTTGCTTCTCCGGGACTTGCTTCCTTCTGTTTGAATCGTTTGAATCAGAACCACATTCCGTACAGCAATCTCGAATACCCATAGAGATTAGCCAGGTTGTACTATACGTTGAAAATCAATAGAGTCTCACTCTCCTGAGTGAAGAAATTATCAGATTGTTCATTCCAATACAGCTTATAAACATATCCCAGGTTTGCCTCCAATTCTCCCAACGCCTGGATCCTCTTGATACAGAATAAAGTAAAAGCGTAGTAGAAGATATACACTACAAAGTAATAGAGGAAAAGAAAGTTGTCTTGGCAAATCTTTACTCTTCCATCGCCGCACCATTATCACCATCCGCGTTGTCGTTGAACAGATCATCTGCACCATCGTCGTCCCCATTCTCTGATACTGCCACCGTCCCGGGCTGGTTCTCTTCTTCCTCTTCCTCTTCGTCGTCGGCAATCCGGCGATTCACCTTCGCTCGGCGCCGTTGAATCACGTTCTCCCCATCTTCACCTGTATCAGCCATCTCCTGATCGTGATCGGATTCCGCCGCCGGAGTTGTGGCGGCGTCGGCCCCGTCTTCCTCGTCGGAGTCCACCACCAGTTCACTGCTCTTGTACTTGCTCTGCATTTTCCCGCCCGATCGACGTTCCAGTCGACGCCGTTTCTTGGGGGCCGATTCGCCCTCGCTCTCTGGCTCTGAGCTTCCAGCCCTGGTCGGTGATTCGCCGTCACTGATGAAGTCGTCCTCTGCCCGCTTCTTCTTGCGTTTCGTCGAGGATGATTTCTTCTTGCGCTTCACCTTAGCGCCTGTCTCCGATTCTGTCGTTAACTCCGCTTCCTCCCGCGCACGTTCCTCCTCCGCCCGCTGCTCCGCTAATCGTTGTGCCTCCTCCACCATCCGCTGCCGTTCCTCTGCAATTCGCTGTTTACGCTCGCGCTCTGCCTCTTGCGCCTTGCGAACTTCCTCCTCGCGCCGCCGGATCTCGGCTTCACGGGCCTCGCGTGCCTGCTGAAGTTTGGCCGCATTCTTTTCTTCGTACTCCTTCTGACTCTGGAGGGCTCGTTCGAGCTGTTTGATGATTGTCTTGCCCATGTTGGCTCGTTGTTCCAAGGCTCCCGCTGGGTAAGGAGGGTTCTTGGCCTGGGCAATGCGTCCAAAAGATTCAACCGCCTCACGAAGGCCATCAGACGCATCCTGTACATCTTGCACAGTCTTCTGCGTCTCCGGTAAACTGTATGCCAGAGAGGCGATTTGATTTTGTACGAACGCCACATTAAATTCCAGATGCACCTGGGACGGCGCAACAGCATGCGCTCGTCGTGCATAATCCAGAGCGGTCTTCATAGCCGACAAGC